CGCACATCCATCGCAAGGCGTGGTAACCCAAACTGCGAGAACTCCCTCGGCCCTTTAATCGCAAGGTGTGGTAACCAAGCCCGTAAACCATACACGTCTTACCAATCGCCAGGTGTGGTAACCCCTCTTGTGATCAGTTGGTTTTGCTGATTGCGAATCGGCTTCGCATGAAGTTTCGATACTGCTTCACGACAGCGCCAAGGCCTCATGACTTAGCTCTTCCATGGCCCATTCTCCGAGAGAGGGGGCCGGCGGCAGGGGGCGAAGCCCTTACGGATAATCATAATAATAAAACTAATGCTACGAATTTGAAGCAGAAGAATTAGCAGAATAAGTATAATAGTAATAACAATAAGTATACTAATAATAATAAGAAGAAGAAGAATAATAATAATAATAATGACAATAAGAACAATATTGGGAAGGCGAGGGCGACGAGGAGGCTTGGGGGCCTCCTAGGGTGCTCCCGGTAACCTCTTGGGGCTCCCTTGACCCGTCTTGGGCCGTCTCGGGGTTCTTGTGAGCTGTCTGGGTGCCTCCTGGAGCGCTCTTGGGGGTCTCTTGGGTTCCTCTTGGGACGCTCTTGGGGCCCTCCAGAGCGTCTTTTGGGTCTCATTTCTTTAGGCCGTTCGGAAACCCTCCGGGAGCGATTCCAAGACGATGTCGGCTCCGAGTCCCCTCTGGGGAAGTCTCAAACGAAACGGGAATTTTTCCGAAATGAAGCCTTCTGGAGTCGAGACTAAGAACGTTGGGTTTGGAGTCCTCTCTGTAGCCGATGTTTTGAGAATGTCTGGAGCGAAACGGCCATTGTTCCATCATCCGCCACCTGCTGGGAGCCTTTGGGGGGCCTCCTGGGAGCTTCTTGGGCCCTCTTGGACTGTCCGGGCGCGTCTCGAGGGTCTGCGGGGGCTCTCTTGGGCCATCTTGGCGCCCTCAGGGGCCGTCTTGGGGCTCTCTTGGGCAATATGGGGCCCTCTTCGTGCGCTTTCGGGGGCCTCTGGGTGCCTCTTGGGGGTCTCTCGGAGCGCTTCGAGGGTGCTCGGATGAGGGGATTCGGGCGCTCTTGGGGTCTTCTGGGGACTCTTCTGGGGTTCCCTTGGGGCGCTTGGGGGTCCTCTGGGGACTCTTTTGGGTCGTTTGGAAACCCTCTGGATTCGATACTGAGGAAATGTGAGTTCTGAATCCTCTCCGGGACCGATGTTGAGGATGTCTGGAATGAAACGGCAACTCTTCCGTCATCCGCCACCTGCTGGGAGCCTTTGGGGGGCCTCTTGGGGGCTTCTTGGGCCCTCCTGGACTGTCTGGGCGTGTCTCGAGCGAAACGCCATTTCTCTGGAATATTTCCTGACAAAAAGCGGGATGCGCGTGAAACCGAAGAGCTTGGCAAGAAGATGCACCAACATCGACTGTAGCATCGGCGCTCTTCCCGAGCGTACATGGGAGGTACCAAAAGTGGAGTTCACTACCCGCGCAGGTTCAGGCAAAGACCAAGAATGCTGAACAAATACCCTGGCGAAGAACCCAACCTTCTGCAGCTGTGGGCACCGTCGTTGCATACACCGTACTCGGTGAAGCTCTTTATGGGGCCACGGAACGTGTGAGGGGTATGCCAAAATGGGTGCGGCGGGTGCATGCGAACGCTGGCATGTGGGCCTTCGGTGGGGCTCCCTATGGGGCCCCGAGACGTGTGAGGGGCGGACCAAAATGGGTGCGGTGGGCGCGTGCGAACGCTGGCATGTTGGCCTTCGGTGGGGCTCCCTATAGGATCACGAAACGTGTGAAGGGTGTGGCAAAATGGGCGGGGTGGGCGCATGCGAACGCTGGCATTTGGGCCTTCGGTGGGGCTCCCTATGGGACCCCGAGACGTGCGAGGGGCACGCCAAAATGGGTGCGGTGGGCGCATGCGAGGAGCCTTCGGTGGGGCTCCCTATGGGGCAACGAAGCGCGTGAGGGGCGTGCCAAAAGGGGTGCGGTGGGCGCGTGCGAACGCTGGCAGTTGGGCCTTTCGGTGAGGCTCCCAGTAGGGCTACGAAACGTGTGAATGGTGTGCCCAGTCGGGCGCGGTGGGCGCATGCGAACGCTGGCATTTGGGCCTTCGGTGGGGCTCCCAGTAGGGCCACGAAACGTGTGAGAAGTATGCCGAGATGGGTGCGGTGGGCGCATGCGAACGCTGGCATTTGGGTGTGGCTCCCGATGGGGCCCCAAAACGTGTGAGGGGCGTGGCAAAATGGGTGGGGTGGGCGCATGCGAACGCTGGCATTTGAGCTTTCGGTCGGGCTCCTTGTGGGTCAACGAAGCGTGTGGCTGCGGCCGTATGCGAACGCTGGCATTTGGGCTTTCGGTGGGGCTCCCTATGGGGCCACGGAACGTGTGAGGGGCGGGACAAAATGGGTGCGGTGGGCGCGTGCGCACGCTAACATTTGGGCCTTCCATGGGGCTCCGTATGGGGCCACGAAACGTGTGAGGAGCGTTCTAACACAGGCGTGGTGGGCGCATGCGAACGCTGGCAGATGGGCCTTCGGTAGCGCCCCCCTGTGGGGGCACGAAAGAAACGTGTGAGGGGTGTGCCGAAATTGGTGTGGTGGGCGCACGCGGACGCTGGCATTTGGGCCTTCGGTGGAGCTCCCTATGGGGCCCTGGGACGTGTGAGGGGCGTACCACAACGGGTGCGGTGGCCGTATGCGAACGCTGGCATTTGGGCTTTCGGTGGGGCTCCGTATGGGGCCACGAAGCGTGTGAGGGGTGCGCCAAAATGGGTGCGGTGGGTGCATGCGAACGCTGGTATATGGGCCTTCGGTTGGGTTCCCTGTGGGGCCACGAAGCGTGTGAGGGGCGTGCCGAAACAACCACGTGCGGAGGGCATATGCGAGGAGGGCAAGGAGGGAGGATGGGGAGGAGAAGGGGAGGAGAGGAGAGGAGAGGAGAGGAGGAGGAGGAAAGAGGAGAGGAGAGAGGGAGGAGGAGGGAGGAGGAGGCGGAGAACAGAGGAGAGGATTGAATTGCGTGTATCTTTCGAAGACCCGTCCGAAGGCAACTTGAAACATGTCTCGAGCGAATTTGGCAAGACCATCACAAGCGACAAGATCAACTGTAGCGCAGGCGCTTTCCCCGAACGTCCACGAAGATATCAGGAGGAACTTCCTATCCGCGCAAGTTCAAGTGAAGCCCCATGATGCTGCAGACCGCCATGGTTTTCAATTGATGTCATGCTCATCGGCATGTCCATCGTGATCTGATGTCTCGAGGACCCGTTCGAATGCATTTCTGGGGGACGTCTCGAGCGAAACGCATATGTTTGAACGACAGTGATGGAACCATACATGTTTTCAATCGTTTCGATTATTGGGCCATCCTGGAGGTCCTCCAAACCCGCCTCCGAAAGATGTCTCACAACAGCGGCTTCAACACTTCATGTTTTGGAGGATGCCTCAAGCGACACGCTCGGTTTAGCATGAGAGGTCTAAACGCAACTTTCTAAACATCTCACTTGCTCAAGGATGTGTCATGCGAGAGGCCAATTTCGAATATGCGAAGAGTTCGCGAACGATATCAGCATCCCCATATGTTGAGGATGCCTCAAGCGGAATCGCCATTTTAAGTATAAAACGTCTTAAGCGATGGCCTCCAACATCTGCATTTAGTGAGGCCGTCTCAAGCCAAATGGCCATTCTCGGGAACCTCTCCTGACATGAACAGGTTGCGTGTGAAACCGACGAGCTTGGCAAGAACATGCACCACCATCGAGATCAAATGTAGCATTTGCCGAGCGTCCACGGGGAGGTATCAAGTGGAGTTCACTACCCGCGCAAGGTCAGGCAAAGCCCCAGAGTGTTGAAAAACACTCTGGCTTGGAATTACTTAAACCTTTTGGAAGGCCCGTCCGAAGGCAAACTTAAACATGTCTCGAGCAAACATGGCACGACAACCTCGGGGGTATCAGGTGAAGTTCACCATCCGCTTAGGTCCAGGTGAAGCCTCAACATGTTCAAAAACGCAATGGTTTGAAGTACGGCCATTTTTGTCGAAGCCTAAGCATTCAAAGCCTAACCCTATATACCCTAACCTGAATCGGCATGTCCATAATGATATGATGGTTTCGAGGATCCGCTCGAGGGATATGTTTAGGGGATGTATTTAGCGAAACGCTGATGTTTGACTATTGAAAGCCTATTGTTTGTTTCATCAGTTTCGCTTCTTGGGCCATCTTAGTCATCTAAGAGCGCTCCGAAAAGATGCCTGAAAAGAGCTCTTGGCGCATCCCATTAGTTCGAGGATGTCTCAGGCGCAACGGCCATTTTTGAAGGTCCGAAGATTGGAACAGCGATTTCAACATCCCCATGATCCGCGGATTTCTCTGGCGAAACACTCAATGCTAGCATAAGACGTCTTGAGATACGACCCCACAAATCGCAATTTGGCGAGGATATCTCAGGCGGAAGGCCCATTCTTGGGCGTCCGTTTGGGTCTAATGAGAAGCACTCGAGCCCTTTGCCCCTCTGACTTCCCCCAGTTGATGATATTTCCCTCTGGGCCCAGCAAAGCCCATCGCGCGACTCCTCATCCGCCATCCGCTTCCCGCCATCCGCCACCATGGTCTCGACAAGGGAGCAGTCCCGAGCCCTTCCCCTCCTGGACCTCCCCAGTTGATAATATCTCCCTCCGGGCCTACACCAACGTCCATCGCGCGACTCTTCGAGTCCGAGCGCGCTTCCCGTCATCTACCAGCGAATTGCCTGGTGCGGCGCGTACCCCCGTAGTTAGAGCAAACAAACCCACAGAATCAGCGGTGCAGGGCCGAGGCGCTCCCCGTCATCCGCCACCGTGCCTCGTGCACGCTGATGCGTGGAAGAATGCCGAGGTCTGCCTGGCCGGGTTTCTGCCGTTCTCTAAGGGCCCCCTCCCCGTTTCGACGCACCCAGCCGCGCTCCGGTCGGACCTCGACTGGAGCACCGCGCTGCTTCCACACCGCCAGCTCCGGACACCTCGGAAAACAGAGAACCTCACAGCTCGGCCTCGTCCCGCTCCGCCTGCTTGGCCTCCGCGATGAGCACTGCGTTCAGGGCCGCGCCGCGCAGCAGCTGGTCCCCGGAGACGAAGAAGTCCAGGCCGCGCGGCTCGAAGACGAGCGACGAGCGCAGCCTCCCGACCTCCACGTTGTGCTTCCCCGTGGCGGTCACCGGCATCGGATACCTCTTGGCCGCCGGGTCGTCGACGACATCTACGCCGGGCGCCCCGCCGAGGGCCTCCCGAGCGGCCTGCACCGTGATCTCCGACTCCGTCTCTATGGTGATGGCCTCCGAGTGCGCGCGCAGCGTCGGGATGCGCACAGCGGTGCAGCTGCAAGCAATCTCCTTGGACCCGAAAATCTTCTGCGTCTCCCACACAACCTTCATCTCCTCCTTCGTGTAGCCGTTCTCTTGGAAGGCGTCGATGTGGGGGATCACGTTGAAGGGCAGAGGGTGCGCGAAGACGCTGGCCTTTACCTGCTCTCCTCTGATGTGGCTGCGGATGCCTTCCTCGAGCTCTGCCATGCCCTCCGCACCAGCACCACTGGCCGCCTGATAGGTTGACATGATGACTTTTCGCAACTTGAACCGCTGGTGCAGTGGCCATAGGGCCATTGCAGCAATGGCAGTGGTGCAATTGGGGTTGGCGATGAGCAGCTTGCCCTTCATCGCGCTGGCATTGATCTCTGGGACAACGAGAGGAACACTGTCGTGGTACCGGAAAGCACTGGAATTGTCAATCACACAAGTCCGTCCATTCGCCGTGATCTGCTGGGAGAACTCGGTCGAGAACCCCCCCGAAACAGCCAGCAGAGCATAATCGCACTCCTGGACGGCCGCCACAGAGAATAGCTCCACCTTCATTTCCCCATATGCTGTCTTCACAATCTTGCCAGCAGACCGCTCAGATGCAAACAACACCAACTTCTTGTCGGGTGTTGCTAGAAGTGCACCTGGCCCAAGGTGCCCCCCAGGATTTCCAAGAAGGCTCCCACGGCCTCCAGCGAACCCTTCAACGAGGCCCAGAGCGTCTCAGGGGCTTTCGAATGGAGCGCAAAACTGGGGGCACCTCGGGCCAGGGGCACCTCGAGCAGCCCCCGATCTTGAGAGGGAACTTCCGATCGTAAAGCACCTGGATCATCTCTTCGCCCACGGCGCCCGTAGCACCCACAACTCCCACGGTGCACGACATCGAAACCCAGACCTCTGCCGGATTGATTTGTTCAGCCCGTGGGCCTCAGAGGTTTGAGCAAGGACGAACCGGTCTGGCAGTCCTATAGGCCTCCCACGACATGTTCTTACAACCAACAAAGGTTCGCATAACGAGAGAAATGTCCTTAGAACAGGAAGCCTAATGGCCAAAACAACAACATCACAGCCAGAACCGTTCTAAGACAATTTCCTCATATGGTGCAAACCACAGAAGGTGCTTAGAACAGTCTTTGGTGGGCATATGGGCAAGCTGGGACGCTTCGCCACTGCTTGACGGATACCGATCACCCACCAGGGGCCAATCGCTCATTCCCCAGATCCTTCTCTCATCGCCCCGCGACCTCCTAAGGGCCCCAGGAGACCGACACAGAAGGACCATGCCGACGTAGAACCAATCAATCCGCCGCAGGTCTGGAAACTTGCTCCTCAAACAGCTCCTTGCTCCACAAGGACGGCCGCTGGCAGTTCAGGAGTGGCGGTGCCCAGACCGACCGCGGCCTCGCATCACTACGATTTGAGCCAACACGGCTGCCAAAGGCAACACCTGTGACAGCCAGCGGAACACGACCCGAATAGCCCTCTCGCATTCCCAAGGCCGGCAACCAGATGCGGCATGCGGTGGCGCTCGGAGGGGGCGCAGGCGCAGACCACGAGGGCTCTGAGCCCCTCAAGGGCCCCCGATCTGGCCTAAGCTTGCGCGCCCCGCCCCCAAACGCCGACCGCGGCGTCTCAACCATCTCGGAGCCAAGCCGACATGTTCGCCAAGGCCCCCATGATCGGCGAGGAAATTCGTGGACTCTGGAATCTTGCTCCGTGCGATCAACGGTCACTTTGATACCGGTCCAGCGCTACGTTATAGTGAGTGCTGCTGAGAAGTCACCGTGCCTCCAGTACGTTGGGGCGTGTTGGAGTGCCTGTTTGCTGCCTGGTCAGGTTTCTTCACACTTTGTCGGTAGGATCCCCCCGCCTCGGGCGCGGTCCCCGAACAGCGCCCTTCCCTCCCTGAAGACGAGCCAAGATCGCCACTGGCGAGTTCCAACACTGGCTGGAGTTAGCCGAACGGCTACTACAACAGCCTCCGAACACCACCAGACAGCCCGAGTGACACCTCCGAGAAGCCCCCAGAGGTCCTCCGCAAGGCTCGAAGAGGCCCAAAACACATCATCCCTTCCGTGTGGTGAGGTCTGCTGCACGCGCGTAGTGCAGCGTGTGCGATGCACTCCAAATCCTTGAGCCTCTGGCGCAACGCAGGTCCCGATAGGGGCAACGCAAAACAATCCAACCCTCAGGCGCAACCCATGGGCCTAACCTGCGGCCAAGGAGAATCCTGCAACCTTCAGATGTTTTGTTTGTTTCTTTTCTTGTACCCATAGACGCTTCCTATGCCGCAGCAGCTTGGGTGCAACTATGTCCACCAACGTCCCTCGAACCCTCACGCGTGCGCAACCCTCGCAATCGATGACGCAACCCATGGGCACATCCTACGGCCATGCAACATCATCAAACCCTCGAACCCGCAGGCGTAATCCATGGGCGCAGCCCCCATGAACACATGCTGTTTTTCAATTAAAATGCTCCTCCCGGGGCTCTCACCCGGTTTTCTACAAGGGAAAGCTGGGGGTCACCAGACTGGGCCCCTAGCCCCCAGGTTACAACAACAACGGCTCCCGCCTGAGACTCCCTCCTCACTTACTGCGAAATCGCGCTCTCGCGCGGGACCTCCTCGCAAGTTTTGCCGGAGTCGCGCTTTCGCGTGGGACTTTCTCGCAATGTATTCTGACGCCGCGCCCTCGACACTCAGGAATCACGTTCTCGCTTGGGCCATTATCACGATTGACCAGGGCATCGCGCTAACGCTCGAGCTCTCCTCCCAGTTCATGCAGTACTCACGCTTCAGTAACACGCCTTTTCGACCTTGCCGCTTGGGCTCGGCTTCCCGACCCGCCCGTTAGGGTCTATCCGCCCGATGGGTGCGTCTGGTTCTGCCACGTGCTTTCTGCTCCTAAACCCATCCTGCTAATCCCGTGTTCCGTCCTTCTGCCCTCCCATTTCATCCGTCCTCTCTTCCCCTGTTTGAGGGGCTGGGCCAATTACGCGCGGCAGGTAAGGAAGATATACCTCCAGGGGGGTACGATCGAGAACAAGGAAGGTTTGGGATATACGTGTTGAGTTATACGCGATCAGGTAAGAGCGAACAGTCTTAAAGTGATACTTGCTTTCGTTGCTGATATTGCTAAATCCCACCTGCCCTTTGGGCGTGAGTGGTTTAGCGAGCTCTCTCTGTTCTCAACCCCCTATCGTCCCCTTCGGGGAGGGGTTTACCTCTCCCCCTACCCCCTCCCCCTGGACCTGGACAGGGATTCCCGGGTGGTGGCGGGGGGGTCCATTTCGACTCCTCGGAGGGCCAAAAAACGACTACCCTCACGAGGATTCTGGCCCCGAGGGGGGGGGGAGTTTGGCCCCTCTGCTCTGCTCGTCTTTGAAGCAGAAATTATTGAGTTTACTAGAAGGTTTTGGCCCCATTTTGGCCTTCTGAGGGGGCCGCGCTCATCTTCCCTCATAGCAGAATCATTGATTTTACGAAGGTGTTGGGCTCATTTTGTCCTTCTCAGGGGGCACCTCTCCTTTGCGCTTCTGCGGAGGTCGCAAGAGTTCCCAAGATGGCCCCAAGAGGCCCCCAGGAGGCTCCCAAGAGGCCTCCAAGAGGCCCCCCAGAGGCCCCCAAGCGGCCCCAAGAGGCCCCCAAGAGGCCCCCAAGAGGCCCCCAAGAGGCCCCACGAGGCCCCAAGAGGCCCCCAAGAGGCCCCCAAGAGGCCCCCAAGAGGCCCCACGAGGCTCCAAGAGGCCCCCAAGAGGCCCCCAAGAGGCCCCCAAGAGGCCCCCAAGAGGCCCCACGAGGCTCCAAGAGGCCCCCAAGAGGCCCCACGAGGAGCCCGAACGACTCACATCAGGACGAGGGGCCCGAACGACTCACACCACGAAGAGCCCGAACGACTCACACCACAAGGAGGGGCCCGAACGACTCACACCAGGACGAGGCGCCCGAACGACTCACACCACGAGGAGCCCGAAGGACTCACACCACGACGCGGGCCCCGAACGACTCACACCACGAGGAGCCCGAACGAGTCACACCAGGAGGAGGGGCCCGAACGACTCACACCAGGATGAGGGGCCCGAACAACTCACACCACGAGAAGCCCGAACGACTCACACCAGGACGAAGAGCCCGAACGACTCACACCACGAAGAGCCCGAACGACTCACACCAGGAAGAAGGGCCCGAACGACTCACACCAGGACGAGAAACCCCAAACGACTCAAATCACGAGGAGCGCTTTCTCGCCCTCCTCCTCCGCCTCGTCCTTCTCCCGCTCCCCTCACAAGGAGGATGTACAAGGAGGCGGGAGGAAGGAGGAACAGGGGGGATATGCGGGGCCAAGCGGACACACGCCTGAAAAACACGACTGTCGGCATGCTTCGCGAGAGTTGCTGCTGTGAGATGGGCTGGTGGGGATACGCGAAGCGTAAAGAATTTCCATTTCTAGAGCTAGAAAGCAATGGTTGCTCATCCCCCCATTGACCATCGTATGTTTCAACTAAAATGTTCCTCCAGGGGTTCGCACCCTGTTTTTGATCATAAGGGGAAGCTTGTGGTCACCATACTGCGCCCCTGGCCCCCGACTTACAACAACGTCGGCTCCCGCCTAAGACCTCCTGGCAATCTATTTTAAAATCGCGCTCTCGCGTGGGACTTCCTCCGAATGTATGCAGGAATCGCGCTCTCGCGTGGCAACACATCATAATATATCGCGGCGCATTGCCCCCAAGACTCACGAATCACGCTCTCGCTTTGGATTTCCTAGCGATGTGCTTTGGAATCGCGCTATCGCTCGACACTTCGTTTATGATGGGTTGGCGCTTGAGCGACTCGCCCGCTCGACCTCGCCGTCTGGGCCCGCCGTCCCGACCTGCCCGTGAGGGTCCGCCCGCCCGACACGCCAGTCTGGTTCTGCCGCTTGTGGTCCTGCTCCTGACCCCTCCTGTAAATATCTCTCATGCTCCGTCCTGATCCCTCCCCGTTGTCTCTTCACTCCTCCCCTCCTTCCCCTGCTTTAGGGCCTGCGCCGACTACACGCGGCAGGTAGGGAAGATATTCCCCCAAGGGGGGTCTTATCGAAGACAAATAGGGCGGGTACTGAGGGTTTGGGACACACGTTCTGAGGCTCAAGAGCGAGTACCGGGAAGGGCATTTGAATTGAAATTATCCCGGCAAAGTAACCTGACAGCGATGTGTAGGAGCATATCTGGAAGCATTCCCCTTAAGATTCAGATAAGAATCCTGTTGTAGAATTCTGCTGTTCTCGCAGTCGTGGTCGCATTCGCGATGGCAGTCGCAGTGGCAACAGCAGTCGCAGTCACAGCCTCAGCCTCAGCCTGCCTCAGCCTCAGCCTCAGCCTGCCTCAGCCTCAGCCTGCCTCAGCCTCGCCCTCAGCCTGCTTCAGCCTCAACATCAGTCTGCCTTCAGCCTCGGCCTCAGCCTGCCTCAGCCTCACCCTCAGCCTGCATCAGCCTCAGCCTGCCTCAGCCTCGCCCTCAGCCTGCTTCAGCCTCAACATCAGTCTGCCTTCAGCCTCGGCCTCAGCCTGCCTCAGCCTCACCCTGCATCAGCCTCAGCCTCAGCCTCAGCCTGCCTCAGCATCAGCCTGCCTCAGCCTCAGCCTGCCTCAGCCTCAGCCTCAGCCTGCTTCAGCCTCAGCCTCAGTCTGCCGCCTCGGCCTCAGGCCTCAGCCTCAGCCTGCCTCACCCTCAGCCTGCAGCCTCAGCCTCAGCCTGCCTCAGCATCAGCCTGCCTCAGCCTCAGCCTCAGCCTGCCTCAGCCTCAGCCTCAGCCTGCTTCAGCCTCAGCCTGAGTCCTGCCTCGGCCTCAGCCTCAGCCTCAGCCTCAGCCTGCCTCAGCCTCAGCCTGCCTCAGCAGCAGCCTCAGCCTCAGCCTCAGCCTGCCTCAGCCTCAGCCTCAGCCTGCCTTCAGCCTCAGCCTCAGCCTGCTTCAGCCTCAGCCTCAGTCTGCCTTCAGCCTCGGCCTCAGCCTCAGCCTGCCTCAGCCTCAGCCTGCATCAGCCTCAGCCTCAGCCTCAGCCTGCCTCAGCATCAGCCTGCCTCAGCCTCAGCCTCAGCCTGCCTCAGCCTCAGCCTCAGCCTGCTTCAGCCTCAGCCTCAGTCTGCCTTCAGCCTCGGCCTCAGCCTCAGCCTGCCTCAGCCTCAGCCTGCATCAGCCTCAGCCTCAGCCTCAGCCTGCCTCAGCATCAGCCTGCCTCAGCCTCAGCCTCAGCCTGCCTCAGCCTCAGCCTCAGCCTGCTTCAGCCTCAGCCTCAGTCTGCCTTCAGCCTCGGCCTCAGCCTCAGCCTGCCTCAGCCTCAGCCTGCATCAGCCTCAGCCTCAGCCTCAGCCTGCCTCAGCATCAGCCTGCCTCAGCCTCAGCCTCAGCCTGCCTCAGCCTCAGCCTCAGCCTGCTTCAGCCTCAGCCTCAGTCTGCCTTCAGCCTCGGCCTCAGCCTCAGCCTGCCTCAGCCTCAGCCTGCCTCAGCCTCAGCCTCAGCCTCAGCCTCAGCCTGCCTCAGCATCATCAGCCTCAGCCTGCAGCCTCAGCCTCAGCCTGAGCCTCCTCAGCCTCAGCCTGCCTCAGAGCCAGCCTGGCCTCAAGCCTAGGCCTTCAGGAAGCCTCAGCATCAAGCATTGCCTCAGCATTCAAAGTGGCTGGAGTTCTGGGAACTCGAAGAACACGAAATGGCCTACAGAGCCCAGGAATGGAGTTCTGGGAACTCGAACACACGAAGTGGCCTACAGTTGGCTCCGGGCATTCAAAATCATGCCCAGGAATGGAGTTCTGGGAACTCGAAGACCACGAAGTGGCCTACAGTTGGCTCCGGGCATTCAAAATGTGGCCCGGGAATGGAGTTCTGGGAACTCGAAGAGCACGAAGTGGCCTACAGTTGGCTCCGGGCATTCAAAATGTGGCCCGGGAATGGAGTTCTGGGAAGTCGAAGAGCACGAAGTGGCCTACAGTTGGCTCCGGGCATCCAAAATGTGGCCCGGGAATGGAGTTCTGGGAAATCGAAAAGCACGAAGTGTGTGACTGTATGCGAAAAACGATCCCCCCCGGCAAACCCCAACGGCCCCCCAACGGCCCCCCAACGGCTCCCCAACGGCTGCCCAGACCCCCCTGTGGAGTAATGTGCTGCTCTCTTTTGACACCGCTAGAAACCTATCAGTCTTCGCTGTTAGGTAAAAACACTGGAGGGGGGATCAACACTAGCCAATATTGAGAAATTACGTTTATAGGACCGTTCGGGTCCCTTACCCTGACGTGTTTTCCGTAGACGTGCCCATTGTGCTACAACTATCGCTAGTGGGTCTCAAGACACGTCCTGGCGCCACCTCAAGTGGCCGCCATCCATCTTCGTGCCAGCCTCAACGATCTTTTTTACAACGTCACATCGCAGAAATTATCCCGGCAAAGCAACCTAACAGCGATGTGTAGGAGCATATCTGGAAGCATTCCCCTTAAGATTCAGATAAGAATCCTGTTGTAGAATTCTGCTGTTCTCGCAGTCGTGGTCGCATTCGCGATGGCAGTCGCAGTGGCAACAGCAGTCGCAGTCACAGCCTCAGCCTCAGCCTGCCTCAGCCTCAGCCTCAGCCTGCCTCAGCCTCAGCCTGCCTCAGCCTCGCCCTCAGCCTGCTTCAGCCTCAACATCAGTCTGCCTCAGCCTCGGCCTCAGCCTGCCTCAGCCTCACCCTCAGCCTGCATCAGCCTCAGCCTGCCTCAGCCTCGCCCTCAGCCTGCTTCAGCCTCAACATCAGTCTGCCTTCGGCCTCGGCCTCAGCCTCAGCCTCAGCCTCACCCTGCATCAGCCTCAGCCTCAGCCTCAGCCTGCCTCAGCATCAGCCTGCCTCAGCCTCAGCCTCAGCCTGCCTCTGCCTCAGCCTCAGCCTGCTTCAGCCTCAGCCTCAGTCTGCCGTCGGCCTCGGCCTCAGCCTCAGCCTGCCTCAGCCTCAGCCTGCATCAGCCTCAGCCTCAGCCTCAGCCTGCCTCAGCATCAGCCTGCCTCAGCCTCAGCCTCAGCCTGCCTCAGCCTCAGCCTCAGCCTGCTTCAGCCTCAGCCTCAGTCTGCCTTCAGCCTCGGCCTCAGCCTCAGCCTGCCTCAGCCTCAGCCTGCAGCCTCAGCCTCAGCCTCAGCCTCAGCCTGCCTCAGCCTCAGCCTGCCTCAGCCTCAGCCTCAGCCTCAGCCTGCCTCAGCCTCAGCCTGCATCAGCCTCAGCCTCAGCCTCAGCCTGCCTCAGCCTCAGCCTCAGCCTGCTTCAGCCTCAGCCTCAGTCTGCCTTCAGCCTCGGCCTCAGCCTCAGCCTGCCTCAGCCTCAGCCTGCCTCAGCCTCAGCCTCAGCCTCAGCCTGCCTCAGCCTGCCTCAGCCTCAGCCTGCCTCAGCCTCAGCCTCCTCAGCCTCAGCCTCAGCCCTCAGCCTCAGCCTCAGCCTGCTTCAGCCTCAGCCTCAGTCTGCCTTCAGCCTCAGCCTCAGCCTCAGCCTCAGCCTGCCTCAGCCTCAGCCTGCAGCCTCAGCCTCAGCCTCAGCCTCAGCCTCAGCAGCCTCAGCCTCAGCCTCAGCCTCAGCCTCAGCCTGCCTCAGCCTCAGCCTCAGCCTCAGCCTCAGCCTCAGCCTCAGCCTCAGCCTCAGCCTGCCTCAGCCTCAGCCTCAGCCTGCTTCAGCCTCAGCCTCAGTCTGCCTTCAGCCTCGTCCTCAGCCTCAGCCTGCCTCAGCCTCAGCCTGCCTCAGCCTCAGCATCTGCCTCAGCATTCAAAGTGTGGCCCGGGAATGGAGTTCTGGGAACTCGAAGAACACGAAATGGCCTACAGTTGGCTCCGGGCATTCAAAATCATGCCCAGGAATGGAGTTCTGGGAACTCGAACACCACGAAGTGGCCTACAGTTGGCTCCGGGCATTCAAAATCATGCCCAGGAATGGAGTTCTGGGAACTCGAAGACCACGAAGTGGCCTACAGTTGGCTCCGGGCATTCAAAATGTGGCCCGGGAATGGAGTTCTGGGAACTCGAAGAGCACGAAGTGGCCTACAGTTGGCTCCGGGCATTCAGAATGTGGCCCGGGAATGGAGTTCTGGGAGGTCGAAGAGCACGAAGTGTGTGACTGTTGCATCCGGTTATTCAGAATGTGGCCTGGGAATGGGGTTCTGAGAGGTCGTCGAGCACGAAGTGTGTGACTGTTGGTGAAAAACGAGCCCGGCACAGGCCCGGCCGGCAACTCCCAACGCCTGCCCGGACCCCCCTGTGGAGTGATCTGTGAGCTCTTTTGAGTCAACTAGAAACCTATCAGTCTACGCTGTTAGGTAATATTGCATGATTAAGAGAATGAGGATGACCAGCAGGCGGAGAGGGACGTGAGCAGGACGAGAAGGAGGAGAGGAACAGTATGGCCATTCACAGCGCTGCATTAGTCGCAGCATCGAAATTAGCGAACTATGAAATCAACCAGGCAACGCATGAGGACGGCGATTACCTACGCTACCTGCGACCAGAACCTGCAGCATGTCGCGCACAGCCACTCAATGTCCACGTTAGCGCGTCTGCAAAAACGAGACGGCTGCAATCGCGACGTTCGATTCACATTCTCCCACGAAGAGGAGGAGCAGCAGCAACGTGGGCGCCCCCTGGCGAATGACAACAACGGTCCTGGCAATAGTGTCGCCAGAAACGCAAAGCAGCAAATCCGTCGACACTACAGCCAACCCATATCAGAAGGAGGCACGATACGGATGCAAGGGCCTCGGAAGGCCGCTTCGAAGCTTTTCAGGCGGGGCGCGGCCAACGAAAGTGGCCAAGGATGGGCCGAGGAGGGAAGGATCCGGGGGCACCATTGGGAAACTTGCCCATCCTTACTACGCGGGTTGACCGTAAACGCACATCCGATTATACACCACGTGACAAATTCATGATGCCTACCGGCTCTGGTGCTGGACATTGCTGTTTCTGAAAGGCCTGGAGTTCGGACGCAGAGTCGGGATCACCCGTGAGGGTGGCGCAAAGGGGGGGCGCTTGGGGTGCGCTGCAACTCGCCGCACTCTTCGACAAAAATCCTGCGCAGCGAGAGGCGAACGGAATCCACGTCCGCAACAAGAAAGGGACACTTGCCCTTGTAGGGAAACCGGCCCTGGACACCCCGGGCCGTTCCCTGAGGCCCTCCCCTTGGGGCCCACCTTCCCATCCTGAATCGGCTTTTGAGCCCGCGACCCCTGAACAGCCCCGAGAGGCCAAGGGCGGCGAAAGACATCAAGACGACTGTCCCGAAGACATTTGTTGCACCATCGCGCAGGATGTCGCCCCACACCCAACCGCGCCAGGTGGCCGTTTCTGGAAGATCCTGAACCCTAAAATGCGACGCCTCAATTCTAGTCCTGCCGCCTTGCGGAAGCTTCCGCCAGCCGACCCGCCGCTCTTTTACTTCCGTCGCCTTCCGCCTCTGCGCCAGCTTCCGCCGAAGGCGAGGCGCGCCCTGGAAAGGGCCATGTGCCCGTCCTCATGACCGCGCGGGCCGCAAGCACCGCGCCTGGAGGTTCGCGAGCATGGCGTCGAACTCCGGCTCGATGTCCGAGACATTCCTGTAGTCCGGTGGCAGCCCCCCTACCGTGGCGGGCTAAACGTTCGAGCTGGACATCACCATCTGTCCGCCCTTGCCGCTGCCCTCCTTCTCTTCTTGGTCCCCTCCTCCGCGCCCGCCTCTGGCGGTGACGATGGCCACCTATCCGCCCCCGAAAAGTTTCCACAGCGGTTCGGGGATTTCGTGCCCCGATGGCTTGTCCAAGCTCTGGACCCACAGCTCGGCCACATAGGCGTTTTCAAACAGGCAGGGGTGCACGGCGTGCTGATCTTTTGGATGTTTTTGTCAATCCGCCGCCCCGGTGGTCTTGCCACAGGGGTGCACGACGTGCCAAATGTCTATGCGATCGTGGCTCTTGTCAAAAAATCCAAAGAGGTTTTCGGCCGATGCCGCTGGGACAGAATAAGGTCCCACAAACTTCGAAGGTCGTCGGCCCTCCCGATAGCCGAACATTGCGTCCAAGATGCCACCAAGACGGCCTAGATGGTCCCAGGAACGCCCCAGATGCCTCCAAGAACACCCAAGATGCACCCAAGACGGTCCAAAATAGCCTCAGGATGGCCCAACGCGGCCTTAGAGGCCCCCAAGATCTCTCCAAGACGGTTCTCCCAAGAGTTCCCCGAAGGGTTTCCACAACCGCTGGGTGAACACGTAGTCCGATAGCTTGGCCGAGCCCTGGCCGCAATGTTCGGCCGCATATGCGTACCCTGCAAGGCAGGTGGCGGCGGTTATTCGTCGTAGGCGTCTTCGGTATTGCACGACATGTATTGCACCATACATATGGCATCCCATGGATTGGGCCGAACATCTTCCACCACATCAATTGCACCACGAGTGCATAAGTACATCAGCAAATCGTGCGTGGACTGAATACAGTTCTGCTGGCTTTTCAATGTATAAATTGATTGATCGTTCGCGATCTCTGAGAAGCCGCTGAGTGCCCAGCCCGCAACGTTGTATGTCGCGAAAGTGTTCGCAATGGTCGACCTCTACACGATCGAAGCCCAACTTCTTCATAGCTGCCACATCGGCCTCGTAGCGAGCCATGATCTCGACATCGCTGTGTTGGTCGTTGTCCTTCCCAGCAGCCACCCGCAAACAATACCATACAACAGCGCCCTAAATATGCTTGTTTCCCTTCCACTCGCGCAAGATAAATGATGTGACTCTCGAAGGGGCAGGGGCACATATACACAGACATGTCCTTCAAGTGGGCCTCGTGCGGAGTGGAAACCTGATTTTGTGCTGTGGAATTGAGCCGATCCCCTCCCTTCACCCAAACCTTCGCGGCTTCCAGACTTCTCAACCCCCTTCCTCTGGGCCAATGTTTATTTTGGAGGGTCCACTGGCCAACCACGGGCTACCTGACATTGCAGAAAGCCTACAACCTATTCCCCCGATATCAGAAATATGTTTTCTTATTGCTGAGATGCCTCCTTCTCCCATCCTCCCGCTTTCCTCTCCCCACTGACACTCAGACTCACTCGCACCCACACTCGTTCACACACAAACTCACTCACACTTAGTATCACACTCAGTCTCACTCACAAGCATACCCAACACAAAGGCTCACTTCTACTCAGGCTCACTGGTACTCAGATGCGCTCATATTCAGATAGACGTACTCATATACGTACTCTCGAACTCAGACTCACTTCTCACACACAGACTCATACACACTCAGAGCCACTCACACTCAGACTCACTCATATTCAGACTCACCCACAACGACCACTCAAACCCCGGCTCGCTTCACACTCAACTTGTGATGATGTCTCGAGCGAGGCGCTGGCTTCAGCACCCCAAGAAGAAGCCGCCAGGGGGTACTTCACGGGCCCTCTCGGTCCCAGAATGTGGGGATGCCTCAGGCGGTTTGGCTGCTTGGTGGATTGGATCTCGGTGCTGTCAGGACAAACGGTGATGATGTCTCGAGCGAGGCGCTCGCTTCAACACCGTAGGGGGGAGCTGCAAAAATCTATTTCACGGGCCCGTTCGCGCCCAGTTTGTGAATGTTTCAGGCGATCTGCTTGTTTGGTAGCTTTACCTTCGGTGTCTCCAAGACAAGCTGTGAGGATGTCGCGAGCGAGGCGCTGGTTTCAGCTTCTAAAGGGAGGCCACCAAGGGGTATTTCACGGGTCTGTCCGCGCCCAGATTCTGGGATGTCTCAGGCGAGTTGCCTGTTTGGTGGCTTGGACCCTGGCGTTTTCGAAACAAATTGCGAGGATGTCTCGAGCGAGGCGTTCGCTTCAGCACCCCAAGGAGGAGCCGCCAGGGGATCTTTTACGGGCCTGTTCGCGTCCAGATTCTGGGGATGTCTCAGGCGGTTTGTCTTTTTCCTGGAAAGGGCGCGGGCCCAAGGTTCTCTTTTAGTTTGTAAACTGTCCCCCGTGCCATGTTGGAGAAGGGCCGGCGGAATTATTCCCTGATGAATATCGAAGTCGGGAAGGGCCGGCGGAATTATTTTTGAGGTTGTATCAAGCGAAATGCTCGTTTTCGAAATCACGATCGATGATTTACAAGGTGCGGGCCACTTTATCGTTCGTCGTGGATGTCTCGAGCGAAACGCTTGTTCCGCAGAGCTTGCCAAGGATGTCTCTAACGGAACGCTTGTTTTACATGTCCAGGTCAGGCCCCACGAGAACACAGAAGGGCCCTCTCCAGGAGTGCGCGAGGACGACGAGGACGACGAGGACGACGACCTCTGAACCACCACAGCACCACACCACATCCACAGGGGGGGGAGGGGGGCACCGCAGCGCAGCACCACGCCACGCCCATCTCTGAACCACCACAGCACCACACCACATCCACAGGGGGGGGGGGAGGGGGGCACCGCAGCGCAGCACCACGCCACGCCCACAGGGGGGGCGGGGGGGACCCTCGCGCGGGGGGGGGGGGGGGGGGCAATGGCATCAGCATTTGGGGGGGGGGGGGGGGGCAAACCCTGGACCATATATCGGTCCTCTCTAGGGGTATGAATCCGCCTGTTTGTACGTATGTGCCTATAGATTGCCCTCTCCAGGGGTGCAATTCCGTGCCCTTTCACGCATGTGCCTTTAGATTGGCCCTCCAGGGGTGCGAATCCGTGTTTTACGTATGTGCCTACAGATTGGTCCCCTGTAGGGGTACAAATCAATATGCTTTTGCATATGTGCCGCCTATGGAATGGCCTCCATCCAGATCGACTGGCCCTCTCTCTCTTGGAGTGCGAATCCCTGTGTTTTTACTTGTGTGCCTATGGAGAATCAATGTGCTTTCACCTATGGGCCTAAGGGTGTATCGAACATGGTGGCCCCGCGCTGGAACCGCGTGTTTTCACGTGTCCACGCCCCCCAGGGGGGCATCTAACATGGTGGTCCTGAGATGGAACCACGTGCTTTCACGTGTCCACGCCACCAAAGGGGTATCTAACATGGTGGTCCTGCGCTGGAACCATGTGTTTTCACGTGTCCAGGCCACCCAGGGTGGTATCTAACATGGTGGTCCTGCGCTGGAGCCATGTATTTTCACGTGTCCAGGCAACCCAAGGGGGTATCTAACATAGTGGTCCCGAGATGGAAGCATGTGTTTTCACGTGTCCAGGCCACTCAGTGGGTAGCTAACATGGGCCTCCTGGATCTTTCCTGGGACTCGGAACGGAACGCCGAGACTTTCTTTGTATGTGGTATTGATTCGTTGACCGTTTGGCCTCCCGGCGCCTCTGGGCGTTCATGGGCTCTCCTGCGCTCCAGACGACCGCAGGTAGGATATCTCCCCTGGGCGGGCCGGACCAAGTGTTTTTACGTGTGCAGGCCACCCAGGGGGTATCTAAGATGGTGGTCCCGAGCTGGAGCCATATGTTTTTTACATGTCCAGGCCACCCAGGGGGATCTCTATAACGGTTGTCCCGAGCTTGAAGCACACGTTTTTACGTATCCAGGCCACCGAAGGGGGTATCGAACATGATTGTTCTGAGCAAGGACCACGTGTTTTACAATATCCAGGCTATTCAAGGGTGTATCTACCATGGTTTCCCGAGCTGGCACCATGTGTTTTTAGGTGTCCAGGACATCCAAGGGGATACCTAAGATGGTTGTCCCGAGCAAAGACAATTTTAACGTTCCGTAGCGCGTCCCCTCGGCACGTCCCGCGGTGCGTCCCCGTGGCACGCTCCCTGGCACGTCGCCTGGCGCGTCCCTTGAGACGTTCCGCGGCGCGTCCTCCTGGCATGTTCCCCTGTCAATTGGCTCTGGGGCAGCTACTATGTGCTGAGGCAGCTCGAGCTGAAGATCTGGATCAGTTCGGTCAGGACTCGGATGCAAAGGAGGACTCGATCCACAACGCTATAGAGCACAATCGCGGCATGGCACATCGCAGTTCAGCGCGGCGGAGCAGAGCACAGCCCTCGGCAAGGTACATCAAGGTCGATACGCTCAGCATTGCAACCTGGCACGTTCCTTGGCACGTCCCGTGGCGCGTCCTCCTGGTACGTCGCGCGGCGCGTCCACTGGCACGTCCCGTGGCACGTTCCGTAACGCGTCCCCTCGGCACGTCCCGCGGTGCGTCCCCGTGGCACGCTCCCTGGCACGTCGCCTGGTGCGTCCCTTGGGACGTTCCGCGGCGCGTCCTCCTGGCATGTTCCCCTGTCAATTAGCTCTGGGGCAGCTACTATGTGCTGAGGCAGCTCGAGCTGAAGATCTGGATCAGTTCGGTCAGGACTCGGATGCAAAGGAGGACTCGATCCACAACGCTATAGAGCACAATCGCGGCATGGCACATCGCAGTTCAGCGCGGCGGAGCAGAGCACAGCCCTCGGCAAGGTACATCAAGGTCGATACGCTCAGCAGTGCGTTTGCCCCTCGCCCAATCAGGTGACTTTGAAACGTTGCCATGCCTTACATTCCTATATTCGTTTCCGGTTTCGTGGGTCGATCATGTTAGTGGCTTGGACCCTGGAGCCTTCACAAATACAAGAAACATAAACATGTGAGGATGTCCCGAGCGAGGCGTTCGCTTCAGCACCCCAAGGGGAAGCCGCCAAAGAATGTTTCGCGGGCCAGTTCGCGCCCAGCTTGCGGGGATGCCTCCAGCGGTTTGTTTGTCTGGTGGCTTCGACTTCGGCGCTTTCCAAGCATATTCTGAGGATGTCTCGAGCGAAGCGATCGTCTCAGCACCGCGGGCGCCCGGATCGTGAGGACGTATCGAGCGAGGCGCACGGTCTTGCACCGAGGGAGGACAGAGGAGAACGAGGGGGACACAATGAGAGAAGAAAAGAGAAGAAAAGAGAGGAAAAGGGAAGGGGGTACGACGAGTAGTACGACGAGTAATAAGAAAAGAGGAGAGTAGTACGACGAGGGAAGGGAATGATGCAGGAAGAAAAGAGAAGGGGGCACGACGAGTGGTAAGAGGAAGGGGAAGGGAGAGGGCCTGCTCACCGCCTGCCTGTCTGTCTGTGAGTTGTCGTCGCCGGTGTACCTCATCGGAGCCACCGTCGTCGTCGCCGCACCCGTCCTCCACGCAGACTCGCTCTGGCACCCCAGACATGCACAATGGGACGTGTCAGGAGTGCGATGCACTTCAGGGGGATCTCCGCGTCGAACTATTTCCGAGTCCTTGGCCATTGGTGGACGCCGCCACTGGAGGTCTCCGGCAAAGTGAGATGCCCGGAGGCCCCCTCCCCCGAGGCCTTGTGAGGCCCAATCATAGCGCAGACACGTCAAGGACAGCATGCAACTTCACAAAACATATCGATCTTCCCTCCCGCGAACGAGAAAGAGGCTGACGAGGTGGAGGAGGCGCAGGAGGAGGCGGCGGTTCTGAGCTGCGGGCGCGGCGTCGGATCTCCCAATGAAGGAGAGGTCGTCCTATATACGGTGGTCTCCCTTGCCAGGCGCTGTGAAGATCAAGCGCCGGCGGGGGGCGGGTGAACAACATCGAAGACACGGCGACAGTGATGCGGGTCAAGACCAAACCCTTAGCCGAAGGCCCACGGCCCCACTGAGATACCCCTAAAACGAAGAACACACTACAAGGTGCAGGGTCCCAAGGGCCACCCCCTCCCAAGCTAGGGGTGTCCTGAACCACCGTGCAAGAGTTACGACCGTGGTCTTCGAAGAAAGTGCCCATCCTCAAGAGGTGCCGAAGCGGGACAGAACCCTGGGCCCCAATCCCAATCGGAAGGTTCGGGGCCTCACATCCGTGGGTGGGGTGGGGTAGGGGGGGGGCGAGGAGCCGATCCGAAACAGCTGCTCATTTCTGCGGGCCACGGCCTGCGCGGGCTGCACGTGAACATTGAGATCGTGGGCGCCAGGGGTGAAGTCGCCATCTCTCTCCCTCTCTCTCGAGCTTCATGCAGGGTAGTCCTTTCCAAACCACGGGGAGCCCCGGTGCGGCGCCTTCTGGGGCCGAGAGTGCTGAAACGTTTCTGACCATGTCTGGGCCTCCAGAGTCGGGGGTTGCTGAGTGTGCTCCTGGCACAGGCCCCAAACCCCAAGCTATTCGCTCCACATTGGGGCCCATGTGACCCTCTGGGCCTCGTGAGCTGTCATCTGAAAGCCGTGGTGGTCGGCTTGGGCCGCCTTGCACACCTCTGGCAGCACCCGGCGGAGGCCTCAGAAGACGCCTGGAGGCTTCTAGAGACCTCTGGATGTGCCTGTATTTTACATGTTGGGTGGGGCTTGGAGGACGGGGAGGCAGAGAGAGAGGGCGCTACAAATCGAGTTTCGCGAATGTGTGGACTCAGGTATGGCCTGCTCGAGTTCTTGCACGTGCTCTCTCCTGTGCACCTGGGCGCTAATCTAGAGGCCTCCTGGATGGGGTCTGGATAGAGGGGGTCGGAGGATCGCGCCGCATCGCCGATACATCGGCGATACATCAACGATGCATCGGCGATGCATCGGCGGTGCACTGGCGATGCATCATCGACGTGGACGATGCATTGGCGACGTCGGCGTGGAGCAAATCGGGCCCCACATCGAGCGGCATCGGCGATGCATCGGCTATGCGGCGCGATCCTCCGACACCATCTACTCGGACCCCATCTAGGAGGCCTCGATACTCGCCCACGGCCACACACCACACGCGGCCCAGCAACAGGACCCGCACACAGGTTTCTCTCGGCGGTGGACAAACCTCCCTTTAGTAAACCTCCCCTTAGTGAAAACGGCCTGGGACCGAAACCGACGGACCTGGACCCGCAAAAATGACGGCCGCGACGCCCTCTCGCGAACCGAACATGGCCAATCCGCTAATCGACGTGTCAGGGTAGGAGGTCTGTCCACCCCCGATTCTCATATACCTCCGCCCAGGGATTGGATCGTACAGGGAGGTGTGGGGTGGGGGGAAACGCGGGGCAGGAGAAATGGGCATCGAATGACTGGATCCAGCCCGGATCGGCGCGGCCCGCGCCTGCATGGAGGCGACATTGGAGCGCGCCGGCCGCGCCAGGATGCAAACGTCGGCCGCATCGAATCGTCGGAACGTCGGAATTTGGCCTGGGGGGAGACGGGTCCCGAGGGAAGTTTTGGACGCCCGAAATGGGTACGGAAAGAATGGGTACAATGCCCAACAACAAATGTTGTCCCAAACCAACAGCGGCCGCTGTTGGGCGGGTGGCCTTCTGTCTCAAATGGACACAGACCGCGGCGGCGCGGACAGCGAGTCCTGTTCAAAATGAACAGGGACTGCTGTTGGGCATCGTACCCATTCTTTCCGTACCCATTTCGGGCGTCCCGAGAAGTGGGTCCTGGACCCCGGGGCCTTCCCCCAGCACGAAACCTCCATCCCGGGTCGTTCTCTGACGGTCCCGGGCTCCGTGAGGGGCCCCGAGAGCCCGAGAGCGGCGGAAAACCTCAGGACTCGTTTCCATCAGGACCCGTCTCCCCCATGGCGACTCCTCCTCTTTCTCTTCCTCCTCCTCCTCCTCCTCTTCCTTCTCCTCCTCCTCCTCATCCTCCCCCATGGCGACGAAACCGAATCGGATCGAGCCGTCCGCAATAGGCGATTACCGAACTGGATCGGTCGAGTCGACGCCATGGGCCCCAGGAGGCGCGAGGGCGGAGGGGACCAGAGAGCGGAGCGCAAGAAAACGCCCGCCTTTCATGGGACACAAACTCCCGCTATCATCGGGGGCGCGCAAGCATGGATTAGCGATCCATGGATTTGGCGCGCGGTCGCCAAATCCATGGATCGCGGGAGGCGCCCTCCTCAAAATGCGGACGGCGCCGCCTCGTTCGGCGGCGTGTATCCACGACTTCCCATGGAAACGGGACCCGTCGCCCATCCACGCCCCCTCAATGCATGTTTGCGACCGCCTGATATCATCTCTAAGGCCAGACCTAGGACAGAAGAACGCCCTTCAAGAACACGAGACCCTCGGCCGGCCAAACTGAAGAACATTCGAGGGTACCCTCCCCCAGGATGCACAAGAACATCCAACAAGCACGAACAACATCAGGGTACCCTCCCCGAACCTACCTTGATCTTATACCTCGAACCGGCCGTATGTCCCCGCGCCCCTCCCCGATCCCGGCACTTGCAATTGTTGAAATGCCAACTCATGCTGACGTTCCGCTCGTGGGCGAACTTGACGAGCTCCCCGAGATCGGGGAACCTGGCTTATCCGCGAGCGATTTTCTCATGTGGCCCCCCATGCAAGGTATCGCACGACAGGAGAAATGCAGCACCGGCGGGCGAAACTTGATATTCTCTGAAAGACAGATTTGCTCGCCAGCCAGTGACGGCGCGATCCTTCCCAGCTGGCGAGGGCCTAGAAAAACGAAGTCGGCAAGGCCCAGACAAATCGCAAGATGCATGGAACGCCAGTGCATCGACCGTTGGGAACAATTGCATGCTTCCTTGGCCCTCCCACTCCAGCCCCTCCTTTGTGAAGAGAAGGCACCGTTCAATGTGTCTCGCATTCGCTGCAGAAGACAGCTGTATGTCAACGGGCTTCCTCAAGATCGCGTTCAGGTGCCAGCGCGAAGCCGCTCATACCAGGTCAAACGGCTGAACAACTTCGAATCGGGATTCTTGTGATGAAGAAGCTGGATCCCCAATCATGAACGATCGATTGTGCCGAGCTGCGTAGAGTAGGGATGCCGAGGGTTGGAACTGCGAGCATGCAGCTAGGCCCGAGCCCATCCTATGAGAAGAGGTAGAACTCGAACAATGTTCGGGCGTTGGCAAGACTGGGTTTAGTGGGACCTGGTTTAGAGATGTGTACTGGGGGACGCCCCCCCCCCGCCCCGTTCCACTATCCGGAAGTGCCGTCACCCGAAAAAACATCAGCTACGGCAGACCTGGATTAGTGATTCTGGCAAATCTAGGGGCTGCGGGGCCCTACTACGAACCAGGTCCCCTTACATAGGGGTCCTGGCTATACCCGAAATGTGAAGCAAGCATGCCGCAAATAATACCCTTGCACTGCAATGAGAGCGCACGCGAAGATACTGCCAACTGACCTCAAACCACACCCAGCCCTGGCCATCTGGACGAAAGAAGCACCATGCGGGACGGCCAAACTGCTCGGAATCACGGTTCCCAATAGGGCAGGCCGTGACCAGACAGCCCATTGCTGCCTGGGCCTCCATGCCTGTGAGTCATCGCGGCACGGCTTTTTCAATACCTGAGTTCGGCAAGCGCCCCGGTGCAATATTACATGGTGCCACGAGTGGGGCCCATATAACGTCAGCAGGTGAACAATCGATCATGTGGATCCTGATAAGAGGGAACTCATTTGGGGTCTTGTGGGACAGGCTGCGTACTTCTTGAGCGGAACTGGCTAGAAATGAGGCATGTGCTGTTAGCAGCAAATTACTGACTGAGAACAGGTCGGCAAGCAAGGACTCGTAACACTCAAAACGAGAGGGAGAGAGAGAACCTGGTCGTGTTGATGATCGGGTTCCCCTGCAAAACACATTCTCAAACAAAGCAACGCAACAAGCTCCCGCAAGCACATGGGAAGCTGGAGATGCGCGAGAGGAAACGCATGTGAGTGTGAGCATGCTTGCGTCATGACGACCGCGAACGCGCCCCGCACTCGGGAACTGGACCCGATCCCAAACGCCCGAACCAAACTGGGCCGTGAACCGAACTCCCTGGCCGTAATGCCCGCGAACGTACTACCTACCACTCCACTCCAACCCAACCCGAAGACCCAAATTTCGGGTTGGGGCGGGTACGGGCTCCACATGTGGTTTCAATGTTCCCCAACGCCCCCCCACCCGCTGGGAAAGGATGGCAAATTGGGGCCTTGGGATTGGGTTTGGGTGGTTTGGTGGGTGGTGACGAGCCGAAGCCGGCCCGACTGCACCGTACAACTCAACCTGAGCAAACCCGCATCGAACCAGACGGCCGAGGTCGCCGCGAAGAGGGCAAGACCATGCAGGACCGCCCGTCGCAACGAGAAGCCACTCTAGCGGAGGAAATGAGGGGAGAGGAACGCACGGAGGAGGATCGTCAAAGCGGGCGGTCGGCGGGCGACGTGACGAATGACGCCAATCTGTACGGAAAGATGCACGTGCTGCGACATCTCCTCCTCGACTGGGAACGAGGGTTGCGTGCGCGACGACCTCTCCGCTCCTCAGAGTGTCCCTCTCTCCGCAGGAGCCTTTTTGGAGCAGGGGCGTCGGACCGGAATTGCTGCTTTGGGCCAGCCCTGCTGCCAGGAGTAAAGGCTCATGAGGAAAACGCGTCCTGGGCTCCGAGGCTTCCCTGGGGCATTGTACCACCCTCTGGAGTCCAGAAATCCTCCCTGGGACCTTCCAGGAATACCACTTCGAAACCTTAGACCCCCTCCCATCAAAAACTCTTTGGCTCATGGCGACCAGCCGGCCTGAACCGTGATCCGACCCCACTCAGCCGAGTCAGGCCGAGCAACCTCCGCACTGCGACGAATCGTGGCGTTCATGGCATGTGCTTGGCCACCTGCGGTCCCGCCGAACCTCCGAGCTCGTCCCGGACCCGAGGGCGAAATCCAGCCTTCGTGTCGGGGCACGATGGTCAGATATGGCTCCCTCCTGGTCTCCATGAGAACTCTCGCCCGAGGGCCCCAGTGAGCGAGCCGAGACACCGAATGCGGACGCTTGCACGCACAATGATAGACCTCATGAAAGGATCCCCAAGAACCCCTGGTGGGGTGGGCTCTGTGGAGTCTGTAGACCCTAAAACTCTCAACTCCTCCCCAAGGCCGGCTTATCACCCCGAACCGTTATTTGAAGGTCCTTGGGGCCGGGAACTGCACGTGCATGACAGATTGACTAAAACAAGCATAGCGCGGAACACACACATACACACACACGCACACACGCACACGCGCACACACGCGCGCGCACACACGCACACACGCACGCACGCACACGCACACACGCACAGGCGCACGCACGCACACACGCACGCACAAACACGCGCACACGCGCACACACATACACACACGCACACGCACGCACGCACACGCACACGCACACACGCACGCACGCAATCCGCCTGGGGTCTGGGTCGGAGAGGGGCCTGTGCGTCGTGGAAGCCGCCGTGGAGGCCGGCTCCGCACACCTGCAGGTGGTCGTCCAGGCCGGCGTCCGAGAAGCCGAGGTCGGAGAGGCTCCGCCCGTCGCCTCCCGAGACCCAAAGATGCTCGCGTCGTAAAAAAAAAAAACGAAACAAATCCTCACGGGAGGTTTTTCGCCATGTTCGGCCCGGGGGGGCCCTCGCCGGGCCCCAAGGCCGTCGAAAAGCGGCTCGGGACGAGAAGCCGGTCCTGGGGAAGGGGTCGGGATTTCCGGGGGCGCCGTCCTGAAAAAATCAGGGCGTCGCATGTCTAACAACGGAATTAATGGCACGATCAAGAGCCAGGAAGGAAACGGAACGTGGGGCGGATGAGCAGGAGACACGGGAGCGGGAGATGGAAGAGCAGCATGACGATGAAGAGGGAGACGAGAAGGAGGAGGCGGAGGAGTAGGAGGAGGAAGCAGATGGGGAGGGAGGAGGACGCCGAGAACGAGAAGGAAGAGAAGGACGATGATAAGGAGGAGAGAACATGGAAGAGAAGAGTATCGGAATATCGCTGGGGAGTATCGCGGTCGAACGAGTATATCCAACAGGCGCAGACGCCCCAAAAACCTCGCGGCGGAATTTTACCACACGGGCCGACCCTGTCCCAGACTCAAACCCGCCAAACCTTTGGTGGTCGGGTGCCTTCCGCTCCACGGTGACGGCCATAAGGTGCCCCAGCCCTTCTGGCAGTGCTGGCGTCTCGGAAACAGCCACTCGCATTTGCACAATACCAGCGCTGTCATTAAGACAGGGGACGCATCCTCCATGGCGCGGATTTCCCGCAGGTGCGCTGCATCGCAAGCCTGCTGTGCAAGCGTGCGCCTTTCTCGCTCAAGCTCATCGCAGCGCCGTAGCTGCTGCCACCCTGCATGCCTTCTCCCACGAGCCCCCGGCGGCAACGAACGGCCTGCTGCCACTGTCTGCTTTCTCACGTGTTCGCCACTGCCTGCCCGTGATTGTTTCACGCGCACTCTTGAACCGCCTTCGCACGAGCTCGCCCCGACGCTGTAGCTGAGCGCGCCTGCTGCCATGGCGCTCCGCTGGCTTCGACGAAGCGCCTGGCGCACACTGTAGTCTGACGACTTTGGGCTCGCGCCCTTTCCACAAATTGTGCTGCCAGTGTCCCTCCTTCTCGCACGCCGTGGCGGCACTGCTGTAGGTGATGATGCCGGACTCCAAGCCGAACCCTATTGATTGAAATGGGTAGGTATTTCCTTCGCAGGCGGTTCGCCTGCTCGCCCTGTCCCCAAAGCTGTAGCCGATCGGGTCTGCTGTCATGGCCCTCCGCTGGCTTTGACCATGGGCCCAGCACTGTAGCTGATGACGTTGGACTCGCGGCCTTCCTCAACTCCTGCTGCCACTGCCTGCCTTTCTTGCACGCCTTGGTACTTCTCGCACGAGCTGAACCCAGCGTTGTGGCTGCTGATGTTGACTCGTAGATGTGTCTCGAAGGAACGCATGCAGCAACAAAGGCTGCCTGCTGCTAGTGCCTGCCTTCTTGCACGACCTGGCCCCCCCACTGATTCTCAGAACCTGTCCCGCGAGCCCCTTTCGCGCAGCGAGCCCCGCACTGCAGCTGCGATGTGTCTCGCATGACCCCTGCTTGCAGCAGCTGAGTCCGCTGCCACTGCCTGCCTTCTCGCGCTAGCTGGTACCATGGTGTAGCATATACAAGTCTCTCAACCCACTCATCGCAGCAACGCCATTCTCGCACGCCCCGACCCCAGCGCTGTACCTGATGACATCGGGCTCTGGCTTCGGCTGCCCGTGCGCGCTTTTTCGCAAGAGCGGGCCCCTGCTTTTTGGCTGATGGTCCTTTCGTGCTTCTAGACGTGCTGCCACTGCCCGCCTTTATTTCAAGCAGCCGTCCGAGCACGGTCGCTGATGATGTTTGTCTATGGTTGTTTCCGCACGTGCTGCTCCCATCGTTGCGGCTGATGGTGTGTGACTCGTGCTTTGGCGCCGGCGGGGCCTGGCCGTCGCTTCTGTAGCTGATGGCATAGGGTTATGCTGGTTATGTCTCTGGAGCCTGCCCGTGCACGCTGTTACTCAAACGCTCCCAGAGCTGCTCCAAGCTGATCGACCAAAACAGTGTTTTGCGTTTCGGCTCCAAGAAGGCCTCCGGTGCTCCTCAAAGATGGTCTCCAAGATCCCCCAGAAGAGCCCCAACAGGGCTGCAAGAAGCGATTTGAGGGGTCGGTCATCGTTCTAGCTGTCCTCCTCCTCCTCGTCCTCGTCCTTGCCCGCGCCGGTTTCATTTTCCTTTTCCTCCTCTTCCTCGTCGTCGCGGACGTCGTCGTCGTTTTCCTCCTCCTCCTCCTCCTCCTCCTCCTCCTCCTCCTCCTCTTCCTCCTTCCCTCGCCCACACGCGGACCCACGGATTGCCCGAAGAGGCCCTCCAAAACCATCCTCTTACCCCTTTGCTCCCAGAGATCTCTCTTTTCACCCTGGTTGCCCGCTTTGTTTCCCTATATGTGTCTCTTCGTCCATTCACCCGTCAACTCGCATGGGCAGGGTTTCTGAATTGGCTGGTGGAGATAATTTTTGGGCACGCAGGCGCACGAATCAGGTCGGACGCCGGGCAAGCAGGGGCAGGCCATGCCACCTGCAAAAAAAAAGAACAGTGCGACGAACACGCCGAAACAGGCGGGACTCAGAGGCAGCCGCGGGCGAAGGCGCGAGAACAGCGCCAGGACCGCGGAGACGGTGCCGGGCGTGAGGAACAGCAGCATCACCGGGAACGGCAACGCGGGACCGCGCACCACCAGGATAGGCGAGCAGGCCCACCCGTACCCTGAACAAGAAAATCTGGTCGAAACCGTAGGACACGCAGGAGGGGTGTCAACCCTACCGTACAAATAGGACATGAAGGAGACCGTGCCCACCGCGAGCACGAAAGGGCGAGGGAAACGCAGGGCAGCCAAAATGGCGCGGAGAAAATAGAACTGCACCAGCACGAAGAGGTGGCCAGCGTGTAGCAAGCCGGGAGCGCGGGGTAGATGAGCCAGCAGCACCAGGAATGCCATGGCGAACGGGCCGTGCACCCCAGGCAACCTCGTTGAACAAGCAGACAATGCAGGCGGAGGAGAGGCGGGCGCCGCAGTTACCCAGGAGCGTGGTGGCGACGAGCGTGAAGAATTTCTTCCCTTCTGACCCGACGGGGGCTGGTTGGGCCATGGCCGAGGTCATGGCCAACGAGGACGGCAGTTTTGGCTTTGGCGGGGGGGGGTTCTTGGCTCGTGCCTCGTTTCCTGGGATCCCCACTCCTGGTAGTGCTGTGGCTCCCGAGCTCGTTGGTTTGAGTTAGTTCATGAGTTGGGCGACAACCTCAGATGTTGAAGGATACGTTGCGATTGTTGCTGGCTGTGCCGCCCTGAGGACCTGACGAGCTGCTGCTTCTAAACATCCCAGTTGCACGACCCATGCCCTCTATCTCTCTACTCGCAGTCGTGTCCATCTGCAGATCTGTCACGTGCCAAGGCATTGTGGACATCCTTGGAACGAACTGTAGCCTGGTTCAGAGAATCGCCAATGGTGCTTTCCTCATTCCCCCAGTGCCGCTAGTCGAAGCCTTGTCGAGTTCAGAAAGTGTTGAGCGGGAGTGGCTGGGGCGAGCTCCTCCCTCGTTCCGAGGTGCTTAACCTCATGCCCGTGAGAATAAACACTAGGGGATAATACAGTTCGGGGTTCAGGGAGAGATAATAAAAGTAGCCCAGCAGACCTCAGCATAATATCGAAGTAAGAGATGATCAAGAGGAGACCAAGCCGAGCACGTTTTGAGACATCCTTGGTGTTTAGTTTTCATAGAAATATCCTCAACAATGGCTTATCTCGCTGGAGACATCCTCGACAAATCCCTTGTTTCGCTTGAGACAGCGGGCGGGCGGGCGGAGGAATGGATGAACCTATATATAAAAAAGAGAAATAGGAAGAATCAATAATACAAGAAAAGAAATGATAGGAGGAGGAGAAGGAGGAAAAGAAGAACAAATCTCGAGTTTCAAATCTATTATATTTTATTTACAAGCGCTCTATGAAAATTGTTTTTTTTGTAAGTGCTCGTGTAGGGTAGCCCATGTGCCTCAATTTCCATGGATAATCAACCCCAGAGATAAAACAGTTCAGGCGAGCGTGAGGACAGAGAGAAATATAAAAGCAGAAGAATACAGTATAATAATAATAAGAAAGAAGAAGAGGAGAATAAGAAGAGGACGAAGAAAGGAAAAAAACAAAGTTCCAAATCTATCAATTTTAATTTACAAGCGCTTTATGAAAATTGATTTTTTTAAGTGCTCGTGTAGGGTAGCCCATGTGCTTCATTTTCCATGGATAATCAACCCCAGGGATAAAAAAGTTCAGGCGAGCGTGAGGACAGATAGAAATATAAAAAAGAAGAGGAAAGTAGAAGGGTAATAAGAAGAGAAGAAGAAGACACATCCTGAAAAAGTGTGTTCGCTTCGCTTGATGTTGCTATATCAACATCGCTTGATGTTGCTATCTCATCATAGCGTTTCGAGGTGATAATGAAGTTCGGCCTCAGCGCTCGCCGCCCAATTTGAATTTTGTATAGGGCGACGATAATCAACTCTAAACACTGAAGGGGGGGGGTCGCTTTATTATCACCGGCATGCGGTTACCCTCCCATTGACAGGCACGATTTCTGGTGCAACACCCGACCAGCTTTCGCCACTTCCCTCGCATCTTGCTTCCCTGACCTGAGGGCCCAAAGTTGCCAAAAGTGGAAGCCCAGCTCTGCCTGAGAGACATGACTTTCCACGCCTTCACGCTACGGCACAGCAATAAGGAAGACTGCGATGGTCGTTTCCTGAAGGCAGGTTGAATTCTTCCCCCCTCCGAGCTCACTTCGACCACCATCGTGCGGCTTTAGCGGGCATCCCGAAGGCTCGACAAAGCCTGGTACGGTCGGATCTAGGACAGAAGAATATCAATCAAGCACGTGACACCCTCCGCCGGCCAAAACTCCCCAGATCATAAGATCACTCGAAGGTACCCTCCCCCAGAATGCACAAGAACATCCAACAAACACGAAAGATATGAGGTTACCCTCCCGAACCGACCTCGATCATATACCTCGGTCCGACCGTACAGTGGAGGCCAGTCCACAAGAAACCTTCCACAAGAAACCCAACCCTGAGACCCCAGGACGTCCATGGATTTTTGGTGTGGGAACGTCACGCTTTCCATGGCACAACCATCGACCCCCCCCCAGAAGCCCAGGGCACCCTGGAGGCACGCAGAGTGCTTCTTGGCATGGGTCTCCACTGCACACCTCGGCGCAAAACGGCGAAGCACGGCACGCGGGCACAGCACTGCACTGCACACTCTTCGCGAGGAGGAGGAGGAGGAGGAGGAGGAGGACTCTAGAATATCCAGGCGCGGCATAGCGGGCGAGAACAGCAGGCGGGCACGGCTCAGCACACCGGCAGCAACTGTTTCGCATCCTGCGTCTCAGAAGCGGGCTCTCTACAGGGCAGTTTTTATGTTTTTTATACATGATCAATGCATGGATAAATTTATGCATGGACTCATCGTTGTTTTTAATGCTAAATCCCTTCATGTGTGATACATGATCCGCACGCGGAGCATGTATAAAAAATTGCACTGTAGAGCACTTCAGACCCCTTCTTCGGCGGCGAGCTCGGGAGAAAGTGAGAAGGGGCGGGCCCTCTCAGAAGGCTCGGAAGTCCCGCGGCCTTCTGAGAGAAGTTCCCTGCGCCTTCCCCGAAGACACATGACACTTCTCAGAAAGCGCTATGGCATTCTGAGAAGTTCCGCCGCGTTCTGAGAAGGCCTTCTCCTTCTCACTTCCGCCCCTCGCTCGCCGCCAACTCATAGCATTCGCAGTGTAACAGAAATCCAGGAACACGTCGAAAACTTCGCCCCGCCTTCCGATAGCCTCCAGAAGGAAAGTGAGGGACCCCCCTTAAGAAGCAACCCATGCCGCCGACATCCTTCAGCAAATGCGCCCACGGAACCGAACAAGACAGGGATGTTCAGTAAATGCACAGTGTACTGACACGCCCTTTCTGGAGGTCGGGGTGGTTCCTCCTCCTCCCATCATCCCATGGCCAAGACGCCCACAAGTTGGGCGGGAACTCAATCCTCTTCCTCCCCAGACATCAGGCGGCCCGATGTGTTCGAGACATCGGCCAAAACACATCTCGAGCCTTCCCGTGGGCTGGCTTCCCATCCTGGTTTGCTTTTTGACAGGCTCAGGGGCTCAAGCGTCAACCAATGGCTCAAACTGGCCGCTTCGATTGTTCTGCCAGCCGCCGGATGTCCGTGGTACTCCTTGAATAAAGACGAAGGCCTCGTGGCTTCACCATCGCGGCCACGATACTTCGCATAACCTGCTGGCTCACGTTCGGCCCAAAGGCGTTCCAGGAACGCCAGCCCATCAGCGGCGCCGTGCCCTGGCGGGGAGGGAGAAAAGGGGAGGAGACGAGTCAGATGCTCTCGTACCTCATCTGGCTACCTGCCCCTTTTCGCCCATCGCTTCCAATTGCGTAGAAATCCTGTAGAATTCGCCGAGTCGGGTGCCAGACTTGACCTGTTTCACCAACTTGCACGTGCAATGCGCACTGGGGGATGGAACAAAATGGGGCCACACGGCTCGCAGACAGGCCATTAACGTCCAGGATGGAGAAAAAACGACCATCAAGAAACACCCTGCTGAGAACAGGCATGCGGTGGAACATGATCAGGTGAGATAGGAGTTGGATGCGTACGGAGTAGCAACACAGCAAATAGCAACAATGCGGCAAACGCCAAATCGAGAAAACAAGGACAACCGAATCGGACCCGAGCGGACAAACACAATCGAACAGCCAGTCCGGAAAGCGACCCGGGAAGACAACACCACATACAATAAAACATAGATGGATTCAATGCGTGGGGGAGGAGCGGGAAGCAATGCGTGAGGGAGGAGCGGGCAAGCTGGCGCATAGACCGCAGGGAAAGGGAAGTAAGACTTACGCCAAATACGAATGATGGAGGGGCGACAAGGGAAGTGTGGGGGGGGGACAAGGGAGGAAGGACGAGGATCTGATATTGTCTTAAGCCGATCCTGGGGGAAGGAGGAAGAGGAGGAGGAGGAGAAAGAGGAGGAGGAGGAGGAGGAAGAGGCGGGGAAGGAGGAGACAAGACAAAACAAAACATTGCATTGGAGCCCTGATTAAGTTCTAAGCCATAAAACCGCTGAGGTCTGCGCGCTGCTTCGGCAGCTGGACCTCGCTCGAAGACGCAGGAGGCCTTTCAGGCACCGTCCGCGCGGCCCCATATGCCAGGCGCCCCTCCCCCCCCCCCCTGGTCGGCGCGCAGCCTGGGAGGGGGTGCCCAGCTTCGGGGACCAACCTCAAACTCCCGCACCCTCTTGGACAAACCTGATGGGCCGAGCAGGGGCCCTCTCAGCCTGCTGCGCCCGACGGAAGTGGGATTAGAGATCGGGCGCCCGGGGTGCGGATTTACCCCTGATTGCATTCCCTTCTACCCCCCTCCCCACGACCACGACGACCACGACCCCGACCCCTCTCCTTTACACGGGCACGCACCACTACTGGGACTTGAGGGAAGGTTGGGTTGCTGTAAGTCTGCAATATCAGAACCACTGCTCCTCGATGTTTCCACCTTTCTCGGAGTCTCTCTCGGCCGCTCACCCACCACAAAAAACACAATTTTCCCATCAAGCAAGATACTGTTGCTCCCGGCAACCGCAAGTAGACGCCGAACTTTCTCCTCAAACGTCGCAGTCACTTGATCTGTGTGGCCAGCCACCTCTCCGTCAGTCACTGGATCTGCGTGGCCAGCCACCTCTCCGTCGGTCCCCAGGGCGCAGACCTTGGGATCTGCCCCACCTTCTCCACGCCCCGCAGGTAGTCCTGTAGGGAGGGCCACAGCACCGTCACAGCCTGGCTGTCCTGCACGTTCAGATTGGTCGTGGGAACTCCCTTGCGCCCCATGCTCTGATCGTCGCCCTCCTGGGCAGCGCGGGCCTTCTTGCGCTTGCAGTTGAGCACCAGGAGGCCGAGCTGCTGCGGGGTCGTTTTGTTGTTTTCCGCCGCGGTCGTCCCGAATCCCACGATCGTCTTGAAGACAACGTCGCGAGCGCGGCTGTCGTCGGGCGCGACCTTGCCCATGGCCCTCCGGATGATGCGCGCGAAGAGGGCGACGTTGGGTGGGCCTCTTGATTTCCAATCCACATTCTCGCCCTGGTGTTGCTTCTCTTTCGAGCTCCTTGCTGCCGTCGTCGTAGCCCTCGTTGCCCGCGACGCAGGCTTGGCCTAGAGGAGTCCGCCCGCTCGTTTACGAAATAATTAAAGTGCGCGTTCGACCCCAGAATCGCCGCGCGCCTCTCCAGCCCCGCCACAAGCTTCACCATGCCCTGAGCCATCTGCTCCACGCCGAACTCCTTGCTGGTCTTCCTCTTGGGCCGCGCCGCCTCTGGCCCTTGGGCGCCGCGCTTCGGCGCCGTCACCCAGGCGTGCGACGCGGGCGCCGACGTGCCCACCAGCTCGCAATGTGAACCTGGCTGGGGCAGCGCGGGGTCGGGGAGGCTAAGCGCGCAATGGCTGATGGGGCTGAAAATGCCAGCGTCGATCCTCGCAATTGGCCCCATCATACTCGCAAATCGGACACGCGTTGCTGTATTTCTCAGTGAACTGCGCGTTCGAAGCGGCCCCCCAAAGATCACAACAACACCGAAGTCTAGCACTCTGTAGACGTCTGCTGGCAGTGACCTGTGTGGCGTGCGCCCTGTTGCGCACTGTGCGCGCGTTCAACGGTGTGAGCACATGTGCTGCGTTGGGTATTCGATGCCTGCAAAGTAGATGTGCTGCGAGCGCCCCCCTGGTCTGGAACTTCGCCCCGCGCCCCGCCCCGTTTTGCACGCGCGCGCAGACGAACGGCCCCTCGACGCGCTCGCCCCCCCCGCCCCCCGCCTCCCCGATCTCCCCCATCGAATCCAGGCGGGGCGGCCTGGCGCAAGAGAACCGAGGCGTGATTCTCGGCGAAGACCAGGGTGGTCAATTCGCAAGTCACCTCCTCCTCCTCGAGTAGTTCCCAAGGGGAAAGGGCCAGGGTAAGCGGCGACTCCCCATGGCCATGAATAGCAGCGACCGCAGCCTGAATATCAGCGCGCGCGCGAAGGAGCCAGGAGGGCGCATTCGGAGCGAGGCCCAAGGAGCATCGTTCCTTATCCTCTGGCTCGAAGTCTAGGAGAGAGAACCGGACTGCCCAGATCTGCTCGATTATCTGCGGGGGGACCACCGGGCCAGTCGGCGGGCGCGCAGCTCGTCTGAACGCGGAGCCACGCGCCAAAAAGCAAAGACCTGCGAATGTGATAGCTTCTGCTGATGCTCTGGCCCCATCCAAGAGGCGGGCCCGCCCGCGGCGACGCGGGCCAGCTTGGCAATGCGAGCGCCCATGCGCGGATATATACTGGTGGTCGCTCATGCAGAGGCACCCCGCGTCAGACGGCATCGCGTTCTGGGCCAATGACAGAAAGTGAGTGCGCTTCCAGCGCCGCGGCGTCCGCGGCGACCACGCCCCTCCGAATTCATAGAAAGCCGAGCACGTCGACAAAATGCGCCGCTGCAGCTCGCGGTTCGCATCCTTTGTAAGTGGCAGCAGTGGTCCAAGATAGCGCGCAGCGTCAACTGCAGTGCCCGCCGCTCGTCCTGATTCGCCCGGCCATTGCTTGCGCGCTGTCGCTTCGGGGCCGCAGAAATTAGAACTCGAAGCCTGCTTGTCCTTGTTCTGCTTCGTGCCATCCATGGCCAGAGCGGCGCCCAAGACGTCGTCTTTTGTTTATGCATATACAGGTAGATTGAAAAAGCTGGTCGCGCACCCACGCATGGCGCTGCCCACTTGGAAGGCAGCGCGGATCGTCGGCGCAAGCGCTATTAGAGAGACCAGCCCCATCATCATCTGGCAGTGAACTTCGGAGGAAAGACGCCCCAGACTTCGTCTGCGCCGCGGCGGCCTAGGGGGGCACGGGGCGCGCCGGCGAGCCCAAGAAGGCACTTGCAATGAACGGGCCCCCCATTCAATGTTTGGCTTCACGTAGAAGGTGCCTTCGTTTCCTTGCATCTCGATCACCCCGCCGCGATGTTGACTCTTGCGCGGTGCCCTGGTCCTCCGATGTGGCGTTGCCCTCCACCGGTCGAGTCGAAACCTGCCCAGGAAACGCTTCCGAACGCGCTCGGGGGGTCTTCCATCGCGCTAGCGAAGCGCGCATTGGACTGGCGCAATCCCCAACACATGCACTGCGTGGGTCTTTTGTGTCTCGCGAATCCGTGCGTCTGAGGTATGACCGCGCATTCAGTCGAGTGGCGAAAAAAAACCCTTCCTGATGGGCGGTTGCGCGTGGATGACCCGCTTGCCCACAGCGCCCATATTTTAACTGCCTTTCGTAAATCCGCGCCCCGAACTGCGTGGTCAGTACAGCGGAGCCATATCAAGTCGTCTAATCGTATCCAATTCGTGCAATCTCACTCCCTTGAACAGATACAGCTGCACGTCACCTTCATCGCATCCCAAGCCCAAGTGTTCAGCCTTCGTCGCCTTGCCGGACAAGATGCAAAGGTCCCGCTACTCAGCAGGAGGTGCCCATAAGTACTGCGCTTCTCTTCGCAATCAGTCCGATGTCAGGGATGAGGTCAGCGCAGTCCTCGGCTGCTCGATAAGTGCGCTCGCTGGCCCCCCAAGCCGGCACAACTGGGGGCGATGCACCTTCTCATCCGCTCCGCCGCTCGGCCCAGTTGATATCGGCGACCCTCGCGCCGCCATGGCCCCCCCCCCAACTTCCAGACGTCGAGCCGCCCATCCTTGCTCAATTTAAGGATGCCAAGTCGTCGCCCGTCGCGATGTCGAGAGCCAGACCTGCTGCGAGCAGCCTGTTGAGAAAGTCGAGCAGCCTCGTGCATTCGGAAGCCGCGCCAAGCTCCTCGGGCCTGTTCGATGAGCAACTCCTTTGTCATCATCGCGGGTTTCTTGCGTTGCCGCCGAAGCGCGCGAGAGCTCCTTCACTGTGTCCGAAGGCGGGGTCGGTCACGCAGCCGCGGGCCCGTCGGAATTCGGCGAGTCGCTCGAGCAGGCGTCGGCGATCAGCACAATCATCCGGCTTGGGTGCGTGAGGTACCCGAGAAAAGAACTTCGCCCCCGAGGCTGTCATGAATTTTCTACGGCCTCCCACATGTCACCAGGAGCGCTCTTATTAGCCAGCCCACGTAACTGTTCCTCGTTCTCTGCTAACTCGGTGGTGACGGCCCTGAGGAAGTACTGCTTTTGCTCCCCCCTTCAAATGACCGCCAACGTCGCATCGCCGCCGAGCCTCGGAGGCGGGGTCGGTGGAAGAGCGCCCGCATCCTTCTCGTAGTCAAATTCAAATAAACGGGGAAGTGGCCCTTCGGCGGAATTCCTCGAATCGGCTGTAGGGTGTCGCCAAGGTCTCGGACGATATGACATCTGCTCAAGCGTTCTAGTCTATCATGCTGCCCGTGGACGGTCTGTTGGACGGCCAGTAGGTATACGCAAAGGGGCTGTAAAAGGTCGCCCAAATCACCCTTTTTCCCACCAGCAAATGTCGAACTGCATCGCCAACACCGTATCGCCTTCGCTCTCGATATCGGGTAGGCCCCAGTGCCGCGCAGCGCGGCCCAGCCCAAACTCGAGCTTCACCTGTGCCCCGATGCCGTCGTTTAAATCCGCATCGGGCAGCGGGGGTGTGCGGCATGGTAACAACTGCTGGGCTGAGCGACACCAGCGGGTAAGGGCCTTCACCGTCTCGTGGTGGACTCCATTTTGTTTGTGCGACCGTGGCTGAGGAGGAGGAGCGTGGAACACCCCATTCATAATGCCGATTGTTCCCTTCTGCACACGTACCACCATGCCACGTCCAACCAGCTGCTTTAGTGGGGACCACATCTGTCGCACACGTCGGTCTCTGTAGCTTGTTAAATCACCGCACAGCCCGTCGCCGTCGTCGTAAAAACCCCTGGCTGATGGACTGCCGCAGGATGCGTGCGGCCAACCACGCGGTTTCGAAGAATGCCCTCAGCCTTGCTGCGCACAGCTTGTGTGCAGCATAGAAACACCGCGTCGTACGTCGTCGTATGGTGAGGAATTTCCTGCATTCTCACCCCACTCGCCCACATAGGATTAGATCCAATCGCTCCCAGTGCAGTGCCCAAAGTCGGCACCATCTGCAGCGACTGGCGGGCGCCGAAGCCGTCGCGAAGGCAACGGGCTGTGCGGCGCGACAGTGTTGAGAACCCCCCCCCATCCTGGCAAAATGCTCGAGCACAGGGGCTGGGGACGGAGCAGGGAGAGGAGGGACGGAGGGAAAAAGGAAGAGGAGGGGGATAAGGGAGGAAGCTGCGAGGTTTGTTTCTGAAGAAGCCTCCTGGGATGGGGGATGGGGCGCGGACACAGCTGGAAGCAACTCGCAAATCTGGGGATGGTGGGTCCGGGACGGGCTCTGGAGGCTGGTAAGCATTGCAAGGGAAAGTGGGCTAATCTAGCCCGGGAAACGTTCAGATGCTGTGATATGGATATGTCCCAGCGGTAGGAGCTTTAGCAGTGACGTGCGATCCAGCGCACGGCGGTCAGTGGACTGGGACCATGGTGCGCCATATGATATGGCTAAGGGTGGGACATTGCATTCGATGATGCTCAGTTTGGCCAAGCCAAATCAGTCAAACGACATTGTTGTTCGTCAGAGCTGCACCATTGATGAGATGCTGTGATGCTGATGTGAGGTCGTACACTACGTCGTCACATAATAAATGACGCGCTAGTGCCTCACCAGGTCAGATGAGGTGAGCGACGTTAGTACGAGGTGCGTGTCAGACACAACTAAGCTGCGGTAAGGTAGATGTCGGTGAAAGAAGACCTCCATTGGCAGCCAAATGCAACGCAGTGTTCACTCGAGCTGTCGGTGAGGCGCGCATGCGGCAGCCGTATTAAGACAAAAGTTCTGCTCAAGAAAACTTGAGACTAAGTGACTGGCCTGGCATCGCCACACCTCGTGGACGCCCGCATGCGGGCTGGATGGCATCTACCAGTGTCTCTCAAGGGCCCACCCTCCCCCCCCCGCTCGCCACCGTCCTCCTCCCATGCCCCGCCATCCTGCCATGTCTTCTGCTCTTTCCTTCTGCCCTCTCCCTCTTCATTACATCTCTCTCTCTCTATCCGTTGCTCTGCCCCTCTCCATCGATGAATTGCATCGCCTGTCCCTCGAAACTCAGCGCGCACATGCGCGAGGAGAGCGCGGAGTATCCGCCGCCCGCCGGCCCGCGGCCTCGTCCCTGCTCTTGCTCTTTCTCTTTCTTCCTCTCTCTCTCTCTTTATCGCTTCTCTCTCTCTCTCTTTTCTCTCTCTCTATATATATAGATGTCTCTGTCTCTGTCTCTGTGCCGGTCTGTCTGTCTGTCTCTGTCTGTCTGTCTGTCTGTCTGTCTGTCTGTCTGTCTGTCTGTCTGTCTCTGTCTGTCTGTCTCTCTATCTCTCTCTCTCTCTCTCTCTGTCTCTCTCTGTGTATGTGTGTATGTGTCTGTGACTGGTTTCCAATCTGTCTGTCTACCTCTCTCTCTCTCTCGCTTTCTCTTTTATACCTCTGTAAGTATACATATGCACATAAATGTGTGCACGTGTGCATATCGCTGGTACTATAGGAACGACAACAAAAAAAAGAAAAGAAGCACAAGGACTGGCCCCAACACTGTTTAAAACTAAATAGCGCTTACAACGATCAACAAATTGAAACCCAACGTTCACAACAGCGGAGCTGGCGCCGAACGGGAACGAACGACGAAACGGGGCATGTAAACCAACAGCGGTAAACCAAAAGAAATAACAACGAAACACGAGACGAAACCTGATCCTGGCAAACGGCTCCACCACATGCAAATATGAATAACGCGTTGTGGGTACCGCTTTCTGTGGGGCTCCCTGTGAGGCCATGACCCGCGTGAGGGGTGTGCCGAAATGAGGGGGGGAGCATGCGGACAATGCCACAAGGGCATTCGGAGGACCTCACTTTGGGGCCACGGTCCTCGTGAGGAGTGCGCCGACATAGGCGGGGGGACGCATGTGGACCCTGCCAATGGGGCCTTCGGTGGAGCTCCGTGAGAGGTGTGCCGGAATGGGCGGGGGGACGAGTGCGCACCCTGCCAGTGGGGCCTTCGGTGGAGCTCCCCCTGGGGCCACGATCCTCGTGAGGGGTGTGCCGAAATTGGCGGGGGATGCATGCGCACCCTGCCACTGGGGCCTTCGGGTGGAGCTCCCCATGGGGCCATGAAGCGTGTGAGGGATGTGCCGAGCAGACATGCGGAGAGCAGAAGCAGATATGAGAGGAGGGAGGAGAGGGAGAGGAGGAGCTTGTGAGGAGTGGGTGTACGCGGGGTGCTGTCACTTCAAAACGAGGACCCGACACCACGGAAGGGTTGGCAACAGGGGCCCGAACCAGGCAAAACGGCGGCCCTTGGTGACGCATGCACGACCAAGACGGAGCTCCAAGAGCCAGCGGCCCCCGAAAGACGTGTGCGCATCGGGCGCGCCGCGGGCGCCCCAGCCGGGCGCACGTGAGAGGAAGGGGAGGGCGGGGAGGAGGAGGAGGAGGAGGAGGAGGAGGAGGAGGAGAGATGTCATCCTTCCACGAGGGGCCTCCCCAGACCCTGGGGCTGAGAAGCAGAGACCAAAGCTTGCCTCTCGGGGCACTCTAGGTCTTGGAGCCCCGTCGGGGTGGCTTGGGGGCCCACCGGGCCGTCCTGACGCCCTCTAGGGAGTCTGGGAGCGCTAGTGGGCCTTCTCGAAGACTTCCTGAAGGGGGGGAGGGAAAGGTAACCCAAGCCCCAAATTGGGGTTCGAGGTTGCAGCTTTTGGACCCCAAATCGCTCCCTGGTTAGATGCATAGATGTGAATCGGCGGCGAGCGCGGGGGGGAAGTGAGAAGGGGCGGGGTGTCCCGAAGGGCTCGAAACTGTCCCGGTCCTCCGAGAAGGGCTCGAAGCCTTCTCCGAAGACACACACAAAGCTTCTCTGAAGACAGGAGCGTTTCTGAGAAGCCCCGCCGCCTTCTGAGAAGGCCTTCTCCTTCTCACTTCCCCCCACTCGCTCGCCGCCGCGTCAATCAATATCTCTCTTTCCCGCTCCCTCTCGACCCCCAGAGGAGCAGGCGTCCCTGGCCTCGAGGGTTCCTGTGGCTCCGAAGGCCATGGCCACCATCGCCGCCAGCCTGCCAGGACTGCCACCGCCAACCCGTGGGACGACCCCACTCCTCCTCCCCCCAGTCCCCTCCCACCCCTCCCACCCCTCCCCTGCAGCACCATGTGGCTGCAACGGCCCGGAAATTCCCCTCGCCCTTCCCTCATTCTACGTATACCCCTCTTTCCCCGATGCCCTCCTCCTCCTTCCCTTCTCCTCCTCCTACTCCTCCTTGTCCTTCGTATTCTTTTGTTGTTATTACTTTGCTGCCCGCGTTGCCTCCCATTGCCTCCTTTTGCCCTTGTCCCCCCTCGCCCACGTCCTCGTCCTTCCCCTAAACTCCCCCGTCTTTTCGCCGGCGCGGAATCAACTGAGGAGGCGAAACGTGAAGAAGAAACAGCGAAGCGCCGCCCAAGGCCTGCGTGACAGGTCCCGCAGTCAGCGGTCGCGTGTGGCCATGCTTCCTCGCTTTTCTGTACTCGACTGTGTCAGCATATTCTAGTTGCGTTACCTTATCGGTGTCTTTGGTTTTGTTGTTGGCGACGACCCAATGGGGGCTCGGCTCGACCAACGTGTGGTGAGACGGAGTCGAGAACTGGTCACGGCACGCCTTGCTGAGTCCACCTTCGTCGGCGTACAGCCGCCGGTCAGTGCGCACATCAGGCTTGACCCGAGCGTGCGTCAACATGGTTTCGCGTGTGGCAGAACAACGTGAGCACTGCACGCAAGAGAAGGTGGCAATCCCACCATTGCCAGTGGCATCGCGCGACGCGTCACACACTGATGCAAAGAAGCCACTGCCGTGAACGATGTTTTTCCCACTGGTGTTCAGTGGCAGCCATGATGCACCACCAACGGTTCGAATCCACAGCAGGATCGGGCAAACAATTTCGAGTAGCAGTGGGCACACTGTGGCAAGATGCCTACTCAGCCATCACTTGTCTGACCCACGGCATCACTTGACGGGTCACGTCCTCTCTGTCCCGCCCTTGAGCGGACAAGACGAACAACATGCAGAAACCTCTTCTGAAACAATACGCGATCCAAAGGCATTATGCCTGCATGCTCCCGGGCATGAACATCAGTGCCAGCCGCGCCATCCAAATTCACACGATCACAGATGCGACACACAGGACCCATGTACAAAGTATTGAGCATGCGCACCTCACGAACGATCAGAACTGAAGGGGCCCCAGGACACACACATAAATACACAAATAAACATATTCCCCATATTTTCTCATATTTTCTGGGTTTTTGTCTTCCCGCCCACTTCCCATATTTTCCTATATTTTCCTGGGAATGGACGATTAATTGTGTCTGTGAGTTTTTTTCCGTCCTGAAGAGCTCTCACCTGGCAACTGTCCAAGAGCTTCGACAAGACCACGCTTTGACAGAACAGCGTTCGAGGCGGCACTCGGAGAACCGGGCTTCCACACACCTGCCGGGCTAGATGTGCGTACAAGGGCAATGCGTTGCTCGCTCTCTGGCTCGCGTATGGGGTGCTTGACCCACTCATCGCCGTCACAAAACCAACATGCTTATATTCGGACACAGCATGCAAAAGAAGGAACCGCCTGGCAAGGGGATCCAAAACCCGCTCTGACTACGAGCTGCTGATTAGTGGTCGGAAGCACCGTCCCCACGAAACTTCATCAACGTCCTCCCCATCCTCCTCCTCCTCCTACTCCTCCTCCTCCTCCTCCTCCGCTGCCTCCCTTCCTGCTCCTCCATCCCACCACTCTAGGCCGACGCGCGAAGCGCGAGCCTGATGCAGCTCCGGCAGAGCACGGCCGCAGCCACGGAGGAGCGCTGGCCCCCCCACGGAGAGCGCGGCGCCCATGAGTGCGCCGGGCGGTGGCGGCCGCGCGGCTGCGCCCCTCCGCCGCGCCGTCGGAGGTGGAGCGCACGCGCTTCCGGGTCGGGCCCCGCGCTCGCAGATCCCAGCGGGGGCCGGGGGAAGCTTCGGCGCGCTGGGCGTGGCGGCCGGCCTCGTCAGCAGCACTGCCAGCGGCAGCGCGACGGCACCGCGAGGGGAGCGGCGCACCCAGCGTTGCCGGCGGCGGCAGCGGGCAGGGCACGCAGCAGCGGGCCGCCGCAGCGGAGGGCACGCGCCGTGTGCGCGTCTGGGTCCACCGGCTCGTGGTCCTGGCTTCTTCGCGTCACTCGAACGATGGCCACGGCATTCGATCGTTTCCGCCTCGCGTGCACGAGCAGCCAGGGCTTCACACCTCGGCCCGTGCCTCCGCGACAGGTGGAACCAGCTCTGGCAGCAAGCCAGCTGAAGGGGGGCGGGCGGGCCCGTGGTGTGCAGCAGCGAGCCCGACAAGGCGCACGAGGGCAAGCGGCCCAGCGAGCCATCGATGACACGACTGCTCCGCCTTCTCCTCTTCCTCCTCCTCCTCCTCCGGTTCTCCTCCTTCCTCCTCCGCCTCTTCCACCTCCTCCTCCTCCTCCTCCTCCTCCTCCTCCTCGACAGTGTGTGTGTGTGTTGGTGGATTGGCTTGGCCCAACCTCGAGCTACAAGACACGCTTCAGCGTTAGCGCGAGGCGCCGGGCCACGCATCCTGTGTATCGAACGCGTGCCAAACTGCGAGCCGCCCCACCGCACCTGGACCTGCCGGTCAAGCTGTGGCAACCAGCCTGTACTTACAAGGGTGACCAACAGCAACAAACAAAAACGCACCGATGCTGAAACTCAGTACGCTTCGAGCGGCGAGAGTATGAGGTGCGGTGGTGGAGGACGTGCAAAGTTGGGAACGAACGCCTGGCTTGCGCCCTCGAGTTCTGTCCGAGCAATTGTGTCTCGCACCCTCCCCCGCTTTGGAAAGCATCCCCTGCTTCACCGGTCTCCCCAAAAGGGAAACATCCAGCACGGGCAAATCGATGCATGATCGCGGTAAGCCGTTCTGAGCGTCGAAGCGACTCCTCTGCAGCGTATGCCACACTGATCACCACGTGCATGCTTAGCTGAGTCCAGAAACGCATGGTGGAGATCATGACTGCACGCATGGGCGGCGAGCGAGGGGGGGCAAGCTGAGAAGAAGAAGGCCTTCCTCTCACAAGGCGGCGGGGCTTCTCAGAAGCCCTCCGGCCTTCTGAGAAGTTTGTAGTCCTCGGGGAAGGCTTAGAAACTTTCCCCCAGAGCCTTCCGAACTTTCTGAGAAGGCCCGCTCCTTCTGACGTCCCCGATGGCTTGCCGCCGAACGCAGTCGCGTCGATGAAGGACCGCATTCGCCAATTCAATTCTCAAGCTCGGTTCGCAATTGATGCTCTCGACGAGATGCTCACCAGGTGCGTGTCCGACGAGTAGTCCGACGCGGGACTGGAGGAGGGGGCCTGGACTAGAGCGGGCTAGTTGCCGACAACGAGCAATGCCCGTTGGTGTCGTGAATTCACACAGCCGCACCCCCGTTGGCCGTACTAGGGCTGCGGGCACAGCTCCTAGAAGGACGAAGATGAGCATGCGGGAGCGATCGAACCTGCTGAGAGATACACAAGTCTAGGCTGGCGGCGGCTAAGCCTCGCCGCAGGCCAGGTCAGAGCGTGTCGCTTGACAAGGGCGAGGCCAACGAGCGAGAAACTGTCGTTTAAGAGGAGACACGAGCGTAGTTTTTTTCCCGACCGTCCCACCCTCCACGGGGGGAAGTGGAAGTAGACATCCGTCCATACGAGCGTACAGACCAAGATGTGGCTAGTCCAACGAGACGAGCAGACAAACACTTGACAAGACCGAGCGTGCAAAACTAAACAAGCCCAAACTCATCGAATCCCAAACGCCCGGAGTAGGAGGAGGAGGGAGGAGAGGGAGGAGGAGGAGGAGGAGGAGGAGGAGGAGGAGGAGGAGGAGGAGGAAGAGGAGGAGTCGAGAGTCACGGTCTGACCCGAGGACCCTGTCCTCGAGACGGTGTGCGGCCTACTGCTGCCCGAGCGAGGGCAGCACAGGCCAGGCAGGGATGCCCTGCTGGCAGGCAGCCCGCCTGCCAGGGCCCGGGGGGCCCGGCGCCTGTGCCCGAGGCCGTCCCATCCCTGCGGCCCCACCTGATGATGATGATGATGATGATGATGACGATGACGATGACGATGAGGATGAGGATGAGGATGATGATGATGATGACGATGATGATGATGATGATGATGATGATGATGATGATGATGATGATGATCCCGCTCTCCCAAGGGGGGCCGCTGCCGACGTGCACACTCCCCCCGCTGCTGCTACATTCGCCCCTGCTCCCCGCTCGCTCCCTCGAGCGCGACCTCTCGCGCGGCGGGAGGGGGGACGGGGCGCCGAGGTCGGCCTCCACCCCCCTTTGGTGGGGTGGAGGCCGCGCTTCATTCTGCGGAGCCCTTCGGCCTGCCTGCTCGAGAGCGGCCGAAGCGGGCACTCGTCGCCGAGTGCCATGACCCGACGACTGCGGCAAAACCCGCCGCACACCACGCAAAAGGCGAGGTCCCCCGTCCGCCACATCCTGTGCGACGGGTGGAACCTCGCGTTCCACCAGGGGGGCCACGTTTCCCCGAGACCAGGTCCAGGCCCAGGAGGTCCCCGCGACCCACCCGACCTCGCCCCCTGTGGCCCCCCTGGTGGAATAACCCCCTCGCTGGGAGGGTTCTCGACCGAACTACCCTGCGCTGGAGACTGCTGCTCCTGCTGTTGCTGCTGCTGCTGCTCCTCGTCCCCTCCTCCGCTGGCCTCCCCCCCGCTCGCTGCGGCGGCTCCTGCTACGATGCCGAGGAGCACGGCCGCGCCTGCGCCTGAGCCCTCTGTTCCCGAGGCGGGCGGTGGCGGTGGCGGCGGGGGCGGGTGGGAAAAAACGGGGAGAGGACGGCCGCTCGCCGCGCGTCCGAGGCAGCACCAGATGCGCCTCGACCCGACGAGAGCTGACGAGCCGTGCCTCTCGCACGCGCGGGCTGAGCAGCGGCCGCACGGTGCGATCGAGCGCAGGCGGCAACCAGGAGCAGCACATCTAATTAGCTGGAGGCCAGGCGCCGCGTAGCCGTCACTCGCCGTGAGCCAG